AAAAAGATAACTACTTTTAATAAAGTTATATAAATCCTTATTTAAAAAGAAATAAAAATAAAATTTAATATTTTATAAACTAATATTATTAAAGCTAAAATAGGTAAATAACTTATACAAAAAAAAAAAATAAAAAAAATAATAAAAAATCTTTCTTTAAGAAATCTTGTTCCCCCTGCAAATATTATAATAAAATTAATTATTTAAAAAATTAATATTAGTAAACTTATTTAAAAAAATATAAGAAATACAAAGTAAAACGTAAAGTTAAAAAAAAATTAAAAGATAAGATTAATACCGCTATCTCTATATTAAAAGATAATAACTTTATCTATATAATTAAATTTATAGAGAACTATAATCTTATTATAAAAAATATTAAAATCTTTTTTTAATTTAATTTAAATACCTAAATTATTAATTCTAGAATAATAGATTATTTTATTATAGATTCTAATAATTTTATTAGCGAAATTATAAAACTTTATTAATATAATATTTAAACTACTATAGATTATATTATATATTTAATTTTTAAAGGAAACGTTAAATTATTTTTTAAATTATCTTTTAATAAATATTATTTAATATTAATAGACGTATTATATATATCTAAAGTTAAGATTAATCTACTCGGTATTATAAAGATAATATATAAAAAATTAAATATTAATTTCTTATTTAAAGAAATTATTTTTACTTATCTTAAGAAAAATATCGTTATTAAATATAAAGATTTATTATAGAATCAATTTATTTTATATACTATAGCTAAAGAGATTAAATATATTAACTCTATTAAAGAAAATACTATAAAACTAATTTAAAAAATTAGATTTACTAAATTAATATAATATAATAAACGCAGTAATAAAATCAAAGATATTATATCTATTAAACTAATTATAAATATTATAAAACAACAGCTTTAAGTTAAAAGAGATAAATATACGTTTTAGATCTAAACTATCAAAATACTTAATAAAAACTAAGTTAATTTTATCACTTAGTATCACCGCCTTATATATTTATCAATTAAAAATATTATACGCTTATCTAAAATAACTAAAAATATCAATATTAAAAATCTATCAATTCCAAAATATATTTATATACCGTACAAACTGGCTAACATAACTAAATATATTAATAAATAATCTATATTACTAATTATAAAGCGTGAACAGCGAGTCTTCATCGATATAAGAGAAGATTAAAATAATATTAAATCTAGATTTAAATATAGAAAAATCTATTAGCTTCTTTTTATTAATTAATATAACCACTTTATAACTATATATTTCCTAAAGTATAAATAGAAAATAAATAAAATAATTAAAAAGTTTAAAGTAATTAAACACAATATAGAATATAATATTAAATTATTCTATTTTAATAATACTCATAAATTCATAAGCAACGATCTCAAAATATAGTCTAAAAAAAAAGAAATTAGCTAGAAAGTAACTACGCCGTATATATATAAATAGAATAGTATAATTAAGTGTCTTAGTTATATAATTATAACTAAAGTATATACAGTTCTTATAAATAAACTATAGATATAAAAGGATCTATAAATAGAAATTATAAAATTAATCGTTTTTTATTAAAAACGTCTCGCCAATTAAAAATATAATTATTACTCTATTTAAAATACGTTATAGTAAATAACTTAATTTAAAGTTATTTAAAATTATTAGATTACTCTACTAAATTACTATTTTAACTAAATTATAATTATTTAAAAATATTATAAAGTTTAATCTATAAGCTATATAAGCTATATTCCTTAGCTATATAAGTCTTAACAAGTAATATATTATTTATATTCCTAAAATAAACTATATAAAACAAGTATAGGATATTATAATTAATAAAAAATTAAATTCTAAATTTTTCAGTAACCTAGATAATAATTATAATAAATAGATAAAATCTCTACCTATCATACCTTCGATCTAAAATCTAAATAAAATAGAAAGCGAATTTAAATCTAATATATTTAATAATAAGTTAATTGGTTTAATTAACCAGCGGTTTTAGATACTTAACTAGCTAATTATTAAATAATTTCTAACCCTAGTAATTTATACTAATTATAATATTAAAACAGTATATTAACCAAAGAATTATATATTTAATTTTATTAATAAAATATCTAAATAATAGTAATAAACTATAATTAAATTAATATAATTCATTTTTATCTATATTATTAATAAAAAGAAAGATTATTCTAATTTTATCAAACTATCTTTTTTTAAAAAGATAATTATATTACTGGAAGCGTTTAGATAGTAATAAACTATAAGAGAAAAATATAATAATTATATTAAACGTAATATATAGAAACTTATTAAACTCTTAAAAAAATATATAATTATAAAAGGATATTAAATATTTAAAATAAAAATTAATATTAATAATAAGATTTATCGCTATAAAACGCGATAGATAGTAAAAAACTTTTCTTAAACTTTTAAAATTAATTTTTTTATAATTTTCTTATCTATAGCAAAAGCTACTATTATATACCTATTCTTTATCTATATCGTATAATTTAATTACAAATATATATAAGTAAATACAAAGCTCGCTTTTTTATAAAAAAAGTTTTTAAATAAAAAGATAATCTATGTTCAGTAGCCTATAAATTTTAATAATAAATTAAATTAGATCTATAAGTTAAATCTATCTTTTTACAGTCTTAAGTAATTTATAAAATTATAATATTTTAAATTTTACAATTAACTCATAACAATTAGTCTTTATCCTATAAAAATAGATAAATACCTATTTACAAATCGTTACAGTATAATACTAATTATATATATAAATAATATTATAATAACTAGCCTTAATATCTATATTAAAAAAGTAAAATTGTAATTTAGTAATTTATTTAATATAATAAATATTAATATAACCAATTATTATCTCGGGATAAAGATTATATAAGATAAAGAGAACTTTACGTTAAAATTAATATAAAATACGTATATAAAGTATATAATAGCTACTTTTAATCCCAATTTACGCAAGACTTTATCTATTTCAATAGTAATAGATACTAAAATTATTAAGACTAATATAAAGATTAATTTATAGATTAAACAATACTATTAAACCTTGCTTAGATTATTAATATATTTAATATTATAAACTAGATCTAAAATAGCATTTACAATTAGGAAATTATTAAGATATATATATTATTCTATAAATAATTTACTAAATTATATACTATAGTTAATCTATTTCTTATAATTTACTTTTAATAATAGAATTCTTTTTAAATCTATTAATATCGATAATAATTTATTCGTATATTTCGATAAAGCTTTCGACTATATTAATATCGATTATATAAGATATCTTAATATATAGAAATTAATTACTAAATATATTTTTATATTAATTAGTAGCTTAATTTTATAATTATCTAAGCTTTAATTTATAGTAAATTTATCTATATATAAAACCAAGTATACCGCCGTATTTACAGTAAATAAAGAAATAAAATAGATTATTAGTATTCTAGAAAAAATAGGTTTTGGAAATATAAAATTAATAATTTTATATACTAATTCTATACTAGCTATATAATTTACTTAAAACGCGCAGTTCTATATCTATTCCAAATATATTAAAATCTCGATACACTAGATTTATAAAGCTATTTATAATAATAATATTGATCTATAATATATATCTACAAAGGCAAATCCTATAGATCTATTAATTAAGTTAATTACCAAGGCACAATTTAAGCAGTTAACTACTAAGATCGGAATCTGCTAACGGATTCAAAATATCATAGATATTAAAGATATTACCTATTTAGAAAATTTCCAAGGTCTTAATCACGCCGTTAAGGGGGTGTGTAGTTACCTAGAAGCTCTTTGTTAAAACAAAGGCTCTTTGTCTGCAACCACGTGATTTAAGCCAGTATAAAAGGCCTCCTTTGTCTATAGAATCATTGAGAATTCAAGAATCTTACCTTTGATTAAGGAACTCGTATTCTTCATTTATCTACACTCATCATCCATAGCCTCCAAAATATATTCCTTCTCCAATCATGAGATACAACTACCCGTAGCTGTAACGATAAACGAGATCAAAGTCATAACCATCGTTCAGCTAAGCACAAAAGCTTTCACTGTATACGTTCCTAGACGCGATCATAACCGTCGAGTTTGAGCGTGAGACTCCCTTGAACATATAATGAATTTACCTCATTGAGTAGCAGGGGAATGGCACATAAAGGTCGACTCAAATTTCTAAACTATAATCAATTTTAACAAACGAGTCTGCTTTACATCATGAATGCGAAATAGCTCTCGATCCACATCACGGCCTCGATACCCGCCGCCAGTTCCCATGTATCCATATCTCCAATGTATCCATCTGGCCGCACAATCACTATACCTACCTGCTCTCCCTGCAATGGCCCACACCATTTCTCTGTGCAGCTAGGTGTGTCGACATCGTCTAGATATAAGGTCCAGCGAGTATCATGCAGTACCTTAGGCAAGTCTGCAATTTCGAACTCGGACTTGGACGACTGAGTCACCATCGCATATGTGAAGGCACTGGACACGGAGATATATCGTTGTAGCTGCATGAAAGTTTCGAACGGGGCTGCTCGTTGGGGTTGAACTGCATATGACTGATCTGCTCGTGAGGATATCTTTCCCATCGTAGTCGCATTGTCAAGTCCCGCACACACGATCCTCAGCCACTCCAGTGCCTTGCGAACATCTGGGATAAAGAAGTATATTCGGAACTGGCTCAACAGCGGAATATCAAGCTGGATATCAACCGGATTGGCGTCAATGTACCGAGTCACCTTTGCGGGAAGCTGGAGAGTGCCGGGTCTCATGGGGGTTGATCTGGCAGTCCTGCCCCGGCTCAGTAGGCCCTGCGCATATTCCGCACCCACGCCAGAGATAAAGCGAATATTCTCGTCGAAGTTCTTGGCAAGGGCGGCCTCCCCTTGTGAGAACGCTTTGCAATGCTCTGCATCGAAGTTTATAAGATCGTACGCAATCTTCTGTCGTTCCTCTTCGTAAGTGGCTAGAAGTGATGGTTGGGCCAAACCACGGATAACAAGATTCAGCTTCCATGCGAGATTGAAACTGTCATGCATGCTTGTATTCGCTCCTTGTGCTGCCAGAGCCGAGTGGCAGTGTCCAGCCTGTTGTGTATTAACGGGAAGGGAAACATGCGGGATCCAGGGTGAGATCAGTGTCATACATCACCGGCAATGAATATCCGCGCCTCGGAGTCCATAAAACGCTTCGCGACGCGTTGGCCCACAACGTAATTGCCGAACCATTCCACTGTCTTCCACTCAAGACGGAAGGGATGCATCGCATCTCTGGCTCGTTGCATGACATACTCGGGTGTAGCCTTGGATCTATCGACCCGTTCGCCGTCGGTCTCGCTTAGCTGCACGTATAATCGAGTCATGTTGCGTTCGCGAGGGATCCAAAGAATAGACCCGGCCAGGTCGGAACGCACCGCAACCTTGCTCCACAGGTCGGGAAAGTCGGTATCGATGACACCTACTCCTTAGCTTTATACCGCATAAAATCCAGGTGAACTCACCATCCAGCACACCCCACGAGGCGTTGGTCACCTCCCCCTCCAATTGCGCAGCTGGGATACACTCTCGAACTTTTGATCGAGCACCGTCACAGCCTACTACGTAGTCGGCGCGGATTGTCTTGACCGTCTTGCTCGCCAAGTCCTCATATGCGACATCCAGCTGCCCTGTGCCTGCCACTTGTGAGCAGGAGGCAAACCGGCTATTTCTCATGATAAAGACACCTCGCGCCTCCATATCATCGATCAAGACCTCCTCAACCATGCCCTGGTGTGCAAGAAGGATATAGGGATCGGATGCGCCGACGAGATTCTCGGGGTAATGGGTTTGACGTCCTGTCCGGTGGAGCGGTTCATCTGTTGTGGATTGCTGGGATGTATCAGCCACAGTCGAAGGGCATTGACACGATACTGGCATACCCAGAAGGAAATATCATAAACACGGGCTCCATTTCTCAACAAGGGGTCGGCGAGTCGCATCTGCTTGAATGTCTCGATAGTCTTGGGCTGCATGCCATCCGCCTTACCGGTGGACGTCTTGTCCGGACGATCATCCAAGATTTTCACATTAATGCCGAATCGAACGAGATTGCATCTGCGAAACTGTGAGTTGCCATAGCATGGTTGTTTGGAGCAGACCTACGCGAGCATCAACCCGGACGGTCCCGCACCGACCACCACGACCGTGGCTGAAGTATCAACAGGGCCCCTGCAACTATATCCTTCGTTGTCTATGCTCGGTGCCATGTTTGTGAATCTTTTGTTTTCAGGGAACTACAGCCGACTCAACAAGTGCGCCTCAAGATGGACCTCATATATTATAGAAGATTGGAGATTGAATGCGGAGTAAGAGCCGACCCCCACTCTTGCCCTATCTCCGCTACTACCATCGAGTGACTCCCCCATCCACGATGATATCCTGCCCCGTCATGTACGCACTGGCATCGCTAGCTAAGAATGTACACGCCCCCATGATATCCTCAGGCTCAGCGATCCGGCCATTCATGGCTTCTGACTCCCAACTTTGCGCAAGATGGGGGAACTGTCAATGAAGTCAGTGTGGGACAGCACCGCAGTTGAGATTGTGGGAAACCTACAGCCGCTGTCATCTCCGTTCGCACATACCCAGGAGAAATCGAGTTCACTCGGATGGCCTGTCATGGTCAGTTGGAGTTCGAGAGGCACGGTCCAATACTCACGTATTCTGCCAGCTCCTTTGCGATGGCAGGGCACATAGATCGAACAGCTCCTTTGGTTCCGCAGTATGCGCTGCATAGCTGGCTTCGCACAGCAATGTGGCTGGCCATGCTAGCCACAAGAATGATGCTCCCATGCTTTGTTCCGTTCGCGATCATTTGTTTTGCTGCCAGCTGAGCAGTAAAGTATAGTCCAAGCACATTAATCGAGACGAGATCATGGTGGTCTTTGTAGGTAAACTCCAGAAAAGGGAGATGGCGGTTGATCCCAGCGCATGGGACACAAATATCGAGAGCATTGTCGAAGTCCTTCTGAAACTGCATGAATCCACCTTCAAGCGACTCCTGCGACGCAACATCGACTCTATTTGAGTCAGCCTTAGCATGTATGATATGGGCGGTCGCAAACCTGTAATACGCTGTGCGAACAGAATATTCCTTCTCAATCGTATAGAATGCAGCGTCCGGATCGACCACATCGAAGATGGCTATATTCGCCCCGGCTTCGGCCAGTCCACGCGCAAAAGCGAGTCCACAGCCTCGAGCGCCCCCCGTCACTAGCGCGGTTCGACCCTGGAGCGAAAACTGACCGGTCAGCTTAAGCATGGGTAGCCCAGAGGAAACACCTACTTTTGACATCATGGTAGATTTCGAAACCTGAACAGAAGCGTTAATGCTCTTCCACATCCCGTATTGCACGAGTTCATGGCTTTTAGCCCCTCAGATATAGCTGCACCCCTTGCAGTGTCGGATGTCGGCAGTTGGGTGGCCGGCGATAACCCCCATCTTTGATCCATGAACACTCAAGCGCAGACAGGCTATCATAAATACCCCCAATGCACAAGCGTGTCTCTGGATAGGATCCAAAACATACCCCACACGTCTGTCACCTGGTCCACTTTCGTTCACCATGGCTCCTCGCGTTCACATTAAGCAACAGCAAACCCGTTCGCAATCATGCCGACTTGACATTCTGATTGTCGGGGCTGGCCTGGCAGGACTTGGCTCCGCCATCAGTTGTGCCCTCGCCGGACACTCCGTTCATATTCTGGAAGCCGCCCATGAACTTAAAGAAGTCGGCGCTGGTATTCAGGTTCTTCCGAATAGCTCGCGCGTTCTCCAGCATTGGGGCCTGGAGAAGGCGTTGGCCCCGCATATGACGGTTCCAAGTGTCTGTAATTTTCTTGGGTGGAAGGGTAACAAGATCTCCTACTTGGACTTTCATGAATCTGAAAGCAATTACCCTGGGACATGGTATCGGGACTTTCACCGTGCTGATCTCCAGCGGTGTCTGGTTGACAGAGCTCTCGAGCTTGGGGTGCAAATGACCTGCAATGCACGCATCAGAACCGTCCATGTAAGCGACGATGGGGTCACAGCAACCGCCATCGCAGCGGATGGTAGGCACTGGAAAGGAGATCTAGTGATCGGGGCCGACGGCGTGTTTGGAAAGCTGACGGAGGAGCTGCTTGGGCGCAGCGATCCACCGGTCAAAACGGGGGATCTCGCATATCGTCTATTATTATCCACGGAAGAGATGCGAAAAGACCCGGAACTGGCACCTTTTGTGAACAATCCACAGGTCAATTATTGGCTGGGTCCAGATGCTCATGCTGGTTTGTCACCTTCGATAGTTCTGTTTGATCCAGCTAACTATAGCAGTGAATTACGTGCTTCGCGGCGGCGATCTATTCAACATGGTCTTGCTTGTCCCAGACGATATCCCGGAGGATTCCCTCGCATCCACGATCGAAGGCAATGTGGAGGAGATGTGCGCCTTGTTTGAAGGTTGGGATCCCCGGTAGGTAACTGCGACAGGTTCTGTACGGTTCATCACGCAACTAATAAGAGTAGTATCCAAAAGCTACTTAAGCTCTGCCAGTCGGTGCAGAAATGGAGGCTGTGCATTCGCTTTGGCGAATTCGATTGGTCTCATCCATCTGGTTCATGGATTGTGTTGGGCGATGCTGTGCATGCGACCTTGCCGTATCTAGCTTCAGGGTATGATCCGACGGTTACTGTCTCTACTGTGGAGTTAACTAGAATCTCTTAGGGCTGGTATGGCCTTTGAAGACGGTGCCGTTCTCGGTGAATGCTTATCTCGTCTCCCCGACTGTACCGATATCGCGAAGACGTCGCACGAGTTCCTGGATGCCAAAAGGCACGCCCTGTCCGTGTTCCAACAGTGTCGCAAGGAACGTACGGCGATGGTAGTGGATCGAGGAAACATTCAGCAATATTTATACCACCTGCACGATGGCCCTGAACAGCAGGAACGGGATCGCAAGATGCAGATGACACCCACGCCTGAAGGCGAGGCTTTGGCTTGGAGAGATCCCGGGTTGGCTCCAAAACTATTGGGATATGATCATATTGCGGATGTGAGTTACTCGCGTGGTGGTCTCTGAGCACAGCTAACAGTGATCAGGTGGATCGCCATTGGGGTGTTCGACAAGAGAGTGACAAGGTGGAGTCTCGACTATAGCTACAAGGTGTACCGTGGATTTGGAGGTCAAACTGTGGTTAAACAGTCAATGTGTGTAGAACGGACCCCCACTGCCCCCATCTTTGATATAGGATAGTTTATCAGTCTCCCCATTCTTGAGACCCTCTCCATTCCAGTAATTCAAGTAAATCCCCGCTCGGTCCATGCCGTATATAGGTGTCCCAAGGAACTTCGCGACGATGACAATCTGTGAATATACTTTCCTCTAGACCACGATAATACGCAAGTCTCTCCGAAAGATGTGGCAATTCTTGGGCTTTTCATCCAAGAAACCTGCGAATGACCCTCCACGAGGGCTTCCAGCATCATGGTATCGCTCTGAGGCGATGTACCAGCTGGAACGCCGAGCTATCTTCTCCAAGCGCTGGATTCTCCTCACTCATTCAAGCCGATTCAGCCAACAAGGCGACTTCCTCTCCTTCACCGTTGCAAACTTCTCATTCTTTCTGGTCCGAGATCGCGACGGCCATATCAATGGTTTCCACAACATCTGCCGGCACCGCGCATTCCCGGTCGTTCAAAGCCGTTCAGGATCGACCTCCATTCTGAGCTGCAAGTACCACGGGTGGTCCTACGGACTCAAGGGAAATCTAGCCAAGGCACCGCGCTTCGAAACGGTTCCAGAATTCGACAAAAGCCAGCATGGGTTGCTTCCCGTCCATGTTCACATCGACAAGGCCGGCTTCGTTTGGGTGAATCTGCAAGCGGGCTCGCCGGATGTCAGATGGGAGGACGACTTCCGGAACATCGACGAGCAACCACGGATGCAAGATTTCAATTTTGCCGGGGAATACACATTCGATCACGAGTGGGAAATGGATTTGGACGCCAACTGGAAGGGAGTGATTGAGAATTACAACGAGTGTTATCATTGTGCCACTTCTCATCCGCTCATCAGTGGGGTGTCGGATCTGCCTCGATATCGCGTGGAGCCCACGGCGGGATACATGGAGCATCACATCTTCAACAAGGAACAGATCGACGCCCAGTTTAAACGGGCCATTACTTATTTCTTCCCAACCACCTCGGTCACCGTCACGTAAGTAACGCCTATCGGCCTTGGCCATACATCGCTGACCAAGAAGTGAAAAATTCTTCTATATCCAACGTATGATCCCGATTTCTGCAACCAAGAGCAAGATTGAGAACGAAGTATATCGTCATCAAGACGCGACGGACAAGGAATTCGATGACATCAACGCCTTTTATCGACAGGTGCTGGACGAGGATAAGGAGTTGTGTGTCGGCGCACAGCACAATCTGGGTGGTGGAGTCTTTGTCAACGGCGAGCTTCACCCGGACAAGGAACAGGTACGCCATCCAGTATTATACCAGGCAATTCTTCTCTGACGGGCGAGGCCAGGGACCGATCTTTTTCCAGAAGAGGGTGAGGGAGATGCTCAAGGAGCACCGAAAGAAGGAAGACCAACAAGGCGGACACGAAATATGGCCTGCCCTTCCGAAACAACCTGAAAGCTGGACCGAGAAGCAGGCTGATGAAGAGCGATTCTGTTCACAATTAGAGGCCGCCGCCTGCACGAACCAAGCGGAGCTGACATGGTGATTCGAGGGACTTGGACGACTGGGCGGTATGTTAGGCGGTGCCCATCATGCGTTTCTGTAGCGTGCCCAACTTTCTTTCCATGCAACTCGGACTTTTTCCCCCTTTGTTTCCTTTTTTTTTTTTTTTTTGTCCTTCTTCTTCTTTACCTGCGGTGGAACCAGCTTTCAAAGTGAAGGTCTTGCGATGGGCAAGTTGCGAGCCAGAAACATGATCAGCATTCTCTGACCAGCGATTGTGAATGTGAGCCAGTGAATATATTTACATACAACTTTCACAACTTTGTCAATTCAACCACACTACGACATCGAGCAATATCATACAGAACCACTGATTCTACTATGTGCCATAAGAGCTCAGTAGATTGTCTTGGGGATGACCGCAAAACTAAATACTTCCAGTCTGACAACCCATTTTATGATACATGATCTGGGAAACCGACTAGTCCTAAGTATACTCTTCTAATTTCCTTACCTCATCTTACCCATGAGTTCAAAGGAATACTCAAATTCCCAAGGTTCTTCTCATTTCGAGTTTATTGATTTTTGATGGTTGAAGGATGGCGCTACCACTACAGGAACTGGTCTCAGTGTCGCAGGATGAGACATCACCACTGCTACGGGAAGAAACATCACTACGCAAAGAAGAGACATTATCCACACAGTAATATGTGACCATTGTGAGTGTAGCTGCAAAAGGTCTGGTCGAGAGAAATATTCCCGTCGTGGAGTATGGGGAGCAGATACAGTGGCGCTACGGAGACCCTGTGGTCCTTCTGGTAAGCTTCAAAGAGCTTTTGTGGCATTGACTAGTCGGCCCGTTGAGTATTCTTAACGTCTTAAATTCCAGCGTGTGGAGTGGGCAGTTCCCGATGAACTGCTCTCGCTTGCATCAGAAATCTTATCAAACCCGGGCTTCCCTTGTGTGCCCGTGTCCACAGGAGCCACTGCTTGGTACGGCGCATGGGATCGAGCTTGCATTATCCATGATCTGGGAGGGGAGTGTCCAGTATATCTCTATGCGCTGCCATTTGTCGGCCTTGAGCTTCAGGACACTTCCAAAGTCACATCCACCTTTAACCGCACGCTCGAGATCTTGACGCCCAAACCCAATAGATATATGGTGTCGTTGCTTTGTCATCTTCTCAACCACCCGCTTGGCGATAGTTTTAGATATCGAGTAACCGATGATCTAATGTCTTTTATATGCTTTTACATTTTGCGTCAAAAGCCGCTGGATACGAAGCATGGGGGATGCGAGGACGATGAGAGCGAAGAAGATTACCAAAACCGAGTCGGAGAAGCATTGAAGGAAACAAAAACTAGGGATTGGGGCCCTTGTGGAATGGACTATTTGAGCACTTCTGAAACTGTTCTCCGAGACTGTCGATCGGTTGACCAGTTAACTCGTTGCTGATGAGAAAGAATATCTCCAGATGTCTGCATCAGTTCTCCGAAACCATCGATCTATTTATTGGCTGAGAGGACCCAGGTACGCACTAAAAGAATATCAAGAAACATAATATGTTGATGGAATCTTCGTATTGCTATTGACCGGGTATTGAATCCGTCGTGGCTAGAGCGAAGTTCTGTTACATTATATTTCCATCAAAGAGAAACCTCCGACGATTCCCTGAAGCATATTGTAATTCCACTCTATTATCACCTCTGCTCTCCTCTCTGCTACCCGTTACCTCCCTCCTCGACACCTCTCGGCAGGTCATTCGCAGTGATGTGGCGAAGAGAAACCCGTATTTTGCGTCAGGCAACTTCAACTGTCTGCCTTCTCCTGCATGAAGAAGCTTAACTAGGATGAGCTTATCATACACTCCCGTAAACATAAGTTTGCTGCTGGGGATCATCGTGAAGCGGGCGTTGGCCTGGAGAAGTATGCTGCAGGCCTCGCTTGGGTCCGAAGCCACGCTGATATCAAGGTCCTGAGTCAGATTAGCTTCATAGATTATGTTAATCCGATACAGGGAATATAGACCTCAGCTATTCTCTATCCTCTAATAAGAGACGTCGCATATCCGCCTACGAACCCATGGTGAATGTTGGCGCGAGTGATAGAGACTGTTGTTTTCTTGACAGCTGCATCGAGGAAGCGGAGAGGTTCATCTTCCCGGACTGCATCCATAGCCCGAGCTATTCAAGTGAGAGAAAAGTGAGAAAAGAGATGTCTCGAAGAGTATTTCTTGGGTTCACTGAGGAGAAGAAAAGAGGATGAAAGAGAGAGGGGGTAGGGAGTTTACAAGGATAGGCAGAGGGAATAAATAACAACGGTATAGTCGGTGAAGGAACTACCCAGGGATGACGATGAATTGCACATACTAGTATTGATGAGCTTCACCGTAAAGATGAATATCTTGATGTAGTCTTGTAGCCCTATTGGGAGATAGAATGCTGTGAATTCTCCACACCTCTTGGGTATTAGGGCCATTCTCTAGGGGATTAGTAGCTGGGTGGGTCACTGACCACGTTCACCCTAAATAGCCCCGCCTCGGTTTGACCAGCCGGCGTGTTTTTCCTCTTATCATTCAAACTTCTTGCCAGATGAAATACTCACTAGCAGTGAATAAGAAGCCTAGCCTTGGACTTCATTTACCACGATGAGCGTCCGTGGAGCAGCTGGTAAACGCCCGGTTTCTCCTCCTGATCCTATTCTTATCTCTAATCCGGTACCCCCCGTACGGTCTTTTCCTCTGCAGTCTTTTGGTCCAGGGGCAGCAACCGATTTCCAACCACAACCGATACAAGAGATAGACGAGAAGGCAAAAGGAAATCCGATAGCCTATTATGGTATAGAGATAGTCTATCCTGATGTATCTGCGAGTCTCAGCCTTTCACTTCAACCAACCCGGCAGCTTCTTGAGGAAGTACAGAGATGGGAGGCAATTAGCTAGCAAAACAACAGCGATGAGAAAACCAATTATAATCCAACTTGGGGATTCTATGTCTTTATTACTTCATATTCCGAGACATGTCTTGCCAAAATTCCGAAAGCAATGGAGAACTGGATCCGCGCTGTGGAGGGCACTCTTAAATATGCGTGTCGTGTAGTGTATGCTGACGAGGCCTTAAAGAGATTCAAACTTGATGTGATTCTGGATGAATCGATTGTCGCCGATGCATCTGAAGATTGGGCAAGAGAGGAATTCCACTCACTTATCCGAGGTCTGGATCTCTACGATCCACAAGAGGAGCCCCTTGGTCTTGCAGACCGTAGTGAGAGTGATTTTATGGTGCCACCTGCCCGCAATCTTGCTTGTTTTATTCTAGACGAGGATGATATTTCTATGTTGGCTGAACTCAAGTTCTCAGAGGATGCAAAACAGGACTTTGGGGTATTTGGGGGAAAAAACCTTCGATTAATAGATGGCATGTGGCGGCGACCTCAATTCAGCGACAGGCCATGTCGTGGCGTTCGGTATTGCCCCATCAATTCTCTGGGTCGCATCTACCAAACTATCACGTTTGATCCGAATGTCTTAGAGGATGGTTTGAATACTTGATGAGGGTATGTGCATGTATCTAGAGGAACAGCAATGTTGAAACCTCTGAATTTTACCCTGGTTAAGCTATAATCAACTTAGGGGCAAAAGTATGACAACACTGGCTACTTCGGTGAAAAGTTCAACTCTCCAAAGCTCGATTCTCTTAACCATTTCAAATAATATCGATCTATAAATTAATTCTATGGGCTCCCCATATTAATACTTTGTATACCAACCACGTGCCATATGTACAGCCCGAAGTCTGCGTGGCATAGAGCAAATAAGCCGATGTATAACCTCCTGCGGTATAGCCCACCAAGCAGCTCGAATATTCTCCCTAAATCGTCACCAGTCATTTTTAATTTGCCGCCTAGACGGATCACTGGATCGAGCGGTAAAAGGACCTTCTCATATCGCTCGCTGCCATACCCCACGAGCACAGATTGCGAAGACACCGACCTTCGGTATGAGAACTGCTACGATGCCACTGACCTCGGAGACTGCACCGATGGTACCTGATATGATACAGGTGCTGCTGGCACTGGTGACATTGGAGAGGCAACTACACACAATTAAAGTCGATTTCGTAGGACTGGCGTAGACGATGGAGTTATATGCTCCATAGGCAGGTTGGTCTCATGATATGTTTTGGTGTGTCTATAGGATCTGAAAGACTAGTAGAGTTGGTTATCCTGTTTCGGCATTCTATATCGAGGCACTTGAAAGCGGTCGACTATGAATCCATAGGCCAGGAAATATATTCCAGCAGGGCAACACGCGTCCACCCACCGCGCGTGGAATGTATGGAAAGGCATGGTATTCATGTGCTGGGATTAGCGAGCCCATTCGCCCGATCTGAAACCGATTCAACCTGCGAGGAGGCTGTTAAAATTGAAGTTTTCTAGATTATATACAAACAAAATGCATATACAATGTGCTATTTACGCTGGGGATTCATTCACCGTGCTTGTGGCCCGATACACATGCAGGCATCGGTGTGCGGTGCCCGGATTTCGGTGGCCGTACTCCTACAAATTGGGCGTTCGCACGTCAAGGCCGAGAAAGTCAGCCAGTTTCATTAGGTGGTTCCCTTTGGATCCAGTGAGATACTCATATTCTGGATATGAAGTGAATTCTTGTGCAGGTTCCACCGTACTTTTCCAAGTTAAATTTAATCCTATATCCTGGACCCCTCCCTTCGATTGAATGAACTGACCTCTATCAGAAGAAATTGGGTATGTAGATATAGATCTAATCCACAACCTACAAATCAACATATCGAGCCATGTCCAGACAGCCTTCGCAGTCTATCAACCATGTATCGTGAAAGAAAACCCGAGCTGTTTCGCTACAATGGCCACAACCTCGCCCGGCGCAACCCTTCCCTTCGCCTGCACAGTGGCTGAGTGAGTATGTGGAAGAGATTGGATCTCCAACCACGACAAAATCCAAAGAAAATGGGCAACGCCACTAACATTGCCTTGGGTCTCGCTATCCAAGATACCTGCAAAACAGCTCCCCAGCCGTATCTCCTGTACTTGGTGACGGGAACCTTCCTTGCGCTCATGCCAACCGAATTTGTAGTTCATTGCTCTTCGTCGACTCCGGGATACGAGAACATTCGCGACCAGACAAGTGGAGATCGTTCCAAAACAGAGCGACAACATCACCAGGCTCTCCTGGGTTAGCCTGGCAGACCTTCATAAAGAAGGAGAAACGTCTCTTCTTAGCTGCTCGATCCCACCTGATCGAACTTATTCCATCCCGGAAGACAGTTTGCGCCCTGAGCACATCGGCCCGGGTATGGTCAAGAAGGGCATTCTCACCGAAGCCTCATTGTCGCAGTTCTTTCGATCAGCGCTCAGATCAGTACTCTCTGCCCCTGGCCCATAGCGGCATGTTGCGAGATCAGAGATTGTGTATGTGCATAGAGCCATCGCGGACGAAGCCCGTTCCGTGACCGTCGGCTTTAAGGTCGTCATCTCCGCCCCGACACGCCTCAGGCACCGACAATGGCGGCCTGGGCGGCGGGCTTGCGATGAAGTCCACCAATGAGACGCAATGTCGGCGCCTACGGAACGCCGTTTCGCCGACGTTTTTCTTTGTGTGCGGTCCACGTGTGGGCCGGAACGTCTCAACCCGGGATTCAAAGCATAACCAGTATCAGGTTCCAAGGTGGGAAAGGACACAACAGAAAGCTCGGATTTTGGTACTCATAATGAACTCTTCCCGGTTTCTCATTCGAACAGGTCGAGTCTTTCTCGCGCTCGATGGCCTACGACCACGAATACCCCCCTGAAGTACGCCTCTCACGGTCTCACCTTTGCGTACTCATACTTCATTGTATCGTAGGCGGATAGAAATCATCAACAACCGCTGGTCGAGGCGTCGTCTCCTATTCTGCGTCCAAAGTGGGTGCTCAACTCCACCATTTACACCTCCCATATGAAGTTACCTGACTGACTAGTGGTCTAGGATGTCGTCCAAGCCCGAGGTGGCTCCGGATGTCGACCCGGTGACGCAGATCGACACCCATCGCGTTCACGAGGATGATAGCTTTTCCGACACATCCTCATCGTTGTCCTCGGATGAGGATCAGGAGCGACAGTCACTGTCTCGCATAGCGTCCAGCCGACTAGGTCAAGTGCTCTCGGCCACGGATGCGAAACAGGACCCCCAGCTCGATCCCAACAGCCCTTCATTCGATCACCGTCGTTGGGCCCAGTACGTTCTGAGGCGAATGCACCAGTGCGGCATTGAGCCACCACAGCAAGGCGTCGTCTTCAAGGACCTTCAAGTCTCGGGGTCTGGATCGGCGCTCCAGTACCAGGAGACGGTTCTCTCCACCTTCGGCATCCCCTTCCGCACGGCCTCTAGAGCGCTTGCAGGACAAAAACGGATCCCTCGCCGTCAGATCTTGCGTGGCTTTGATGGTCTCCTCGAGGGTGGCGAACTCTTACTCGTGTTGGGTCGACCAGGCAGTGGATGTTCGACTCTCCTGAAGACGATTTGTGGTCGCATGGGCGGACTGACCCTAGAGCCGGAAAGCACAATCCACTACAACGGGGTGGGCTATGAGGATATGATTAAACACCATCGGGGAGATATTGCCTACAACAAGGAGGTTGACGAGCATTTCCCACACCTCACCGTGGGCCAGACCCTCTCCTTTGCGGCACATGCCCGTGCGCCTCGACGACGGATCGAAGGTGTGACTCGCATGCAGTTCGCGGATACCATGACCAAGGTGGTGATGTCGGTGTACGGCCTCTCGCACACGGTCCACACCAAGGTGGGAGATAACTTCGTCCGGGGAGTCAGTGGGGGTGAACGCAAACGGGTCAGTATAGCCGAGATGTTTCTATCGAACTGTCGGATAGGTGCTTGGGACAACAGTACCAGAGGCCTTGATGCCGCATCCGCCCTCAAATTTGTGAGAGCGTTGCGCCTGTCCGCTGACATGAGTAACTCCTGCCATGCTGTGGCCGCCTACCAGTCTTCCCAGTCAATGTACGACCTCTTTGAAAAGGTCGTGGTCCTGTACGAGGGGTATGAGATCTACTTTGGGCCGTGTGACGCGGCGGTGGAATATTTCCAGCGGATGGGCTGGGAACGACCGGAGAAGCAGGTGAGCCCGGACTTCTTGACCGCCATCACCAACCCCGTGGAACGAAGGGCCCGGCCGGGCATGGAGGCCAAAGTGCCGCGAAGTGCGAAGGAATTCTCGGACTATTGGAAGCGCAGCCCAGAATATCAGAAGCTTCGCACGGAAATTGCCCAATATGTGCAAGAACACGGCCCAAATGGTGAAGGCGCCCAAGTCCTGCGGCAGGTCCACGAAGAAAAGCAAGCCCGCCATACGCGAACGAACAGCCCATACCTCCTGTCGATTCCGATGCAAATCCGCCTCTGTATTCGGCGGGCCTATCAGCGTCTACGCAATGATCTGCCAACTGCGATGTCGACAGTTATTGTCCAGACCATCCTAGCCCTGATTATTGGCTCCGTCTTCTACAATTCCCCTGATTCTAGCAATGGATTCTTTCAGAAAGGTGCTGTCCTCTATTTCTCGGTGCTTATGAATGCGTTGATCACCATTGGAGAGATTATGCAACTCTATGCCCAGCGCCCCATCGTGGAAAAACAGGCGGCCTATGCGTTTGTGCATCCATTCACTGAAGCCTTAGCGAGTGCCCTGGTAGATCTGCCAATCAAAGTTATTCGCTGTTCGATGTTCAGTATTATCCTCTACTTCTTAGCCAACCTCCGCAGGGAACCATCTCAGTTCTTCATCTTTTACCTACTTCTGATATGCACCATTCTCACCATGTCGGGAATGTTCCGCAGTCTGGCGTCTTTGACGCAGACCGTGGGACAGGCCATGGCGCTTGCCGGTATCCTAGTTCTATGTATTGTCGTCTACACCGGATTCACGCTGCCACAACCTGATATGCATCCGTGGTTCTCCTGGATACGCTGGATCAACCCTGTTTTCTATGCATTTGAAGGCCTTGTTTCCAATGAATTCCATGGCCGGAATTTCGAATGCGCTTCTTACATTCCTTCTTATGGTACAGGGACATCCTTTATTTGCTCGGTCGTCGGTGCAGTTGCCGGTGAACGGTTTGTTTCAGGCGACGCGTTCATTGAGCAGAACTACCAATATTCCTATTCACACCTGTGGCGAAACTTCGGCATCCTGATCGCGTTCCTGATCTTCTTCCACGTACTTTACCTCACTGCAACAGAGTTCATCTCGGCAGATAAGTCCACAGCGGAAGCATTAGTGTTTCGGCCGGGCCATGCTCCCAGCTACCTGCAAGACGGTGACGGTATTGAGGCGGAGAAGACAAGCCCTACGGCGGAGGTCAGGGCGGACGCAGATTCTATCCGCCTCCCGGAGCAGAAGGATATCCTGTCTTGGAAATCAGTTTGCTATGACATTCCCGTCAAGGACGGCACCCGGCGTCTGCTAGATGATGTGAATGGATGGGTCAAGCCGGGGACGCTGACAGCTTTGATGGGCGTTTCTGGTGCTGGAAAGACCACTCTGCTCGATGTTCTCGCCCAGCGAGTGTCGATTGGCGTTGTGACGGGAGATATCTTCGTGAATGGAAAGGGGTTAGCCGCGAACTTCCCCCGTCGAACTGGCTATGTTCAGCAGCAGGATCTCCATCTGGAGACCACTACGGTACGGGAGGCTCTCCGCTTCAGTGCTGTGCTTCGCCAACCTCGATCAGTCTCTCAACAGGAAAAGTATGACTATGTCGAGCAGGTGCTTCAAGTCTTGGGAATGGAGGATTATGCTGAGGCAGTGGTCGGTAGACTGGGTGAAGGGTTGAATGTAGAGCAGCGAAAGCTGTTAAGTATCGGCGTTGAGCTCGCTGCCAAGCCGACCCTTTTAGTCTTCCTCGACGAGCCCACCAGTGGTTTAGACTCTCAGAGCTCATGGACCATCTGCGCGTTTCTGAAGAAACTGACCAGTCAAGGCCAGGCAGTGTTGGCAACGATCCACCAGCCCAGTGCAATGTTGTTCCAAACCTTTGACCGCTTACTGTTCTTAGCGAAGGGGGGAAGGACAGTTTACTTCGGTGAGATTGGCAAGAACTCCCGCATCCTATTGAACTACTTCGAGCGAAACGGCGGTCGACTCTGCAAGGAAGATGAAAACCCGGCAGAGTACATCCTTGAAACGGTTTCCGGTGATGTGGACAACAACGCACCAGATTGGGTCAAAGTGTGGAACGAGAGCCCCGAGCATCAAGACGTACTCGCGGAGCTCGATCGATTGCATGCCACCAGAGAAAGCGATTCGGCACCTTCTGCCGATGATGCAGGAAGCGACGAGGAATTCGCTATGCCATTAAGCAGTCAGCTCTATCATGTTCTTCGCCGTGTGTTTCAGCAATATTTCAGGCAACCGGAGTATATTTTCTCCAAGTTCATTTTGGGCATTGTCTCTGGTCTTTTCATCGGATTTTCCTTCTGGAAAACTGACAGTACACAGCAGGGCTTCCAGAATTCCCTTTTCAGTATTTTCCTGTTATGTACGATCTTCAACACATTGGTCAACCAGATCATGCCGAAGTTCGTTGCCCAGCGTGCCCTCTATGAAGTGCGTGAGCGGCCGTCCCGAGTGTACTCCTGGAAGGTCTTCATTCTTTCTCAAATGATTGTCGAAGTGCCCTTCCAGTTTGGACTCGGCGTTTGCTCCTGGGCCTCATTCTACTGGGCTGTTTTTGGTGCGGACCAAGACTCCGAGCGCCGTGCTCTGATCATGCTGTTTATTGTGCAGTTCTTCATCTATAGTGCGAGCATGGCCCAATTCGTTGTATGCGCGGTCGGAGAACCCGCATTGGCCTCCATGATTGCTACACTGATGTTTGGTCTGTCGTTCGTGTTCAGTGGTGTTATGCAGCCACCCCCTGCCCTCCCGGGATTCTGGATCTTCATGTACCGCGTGTCCCCATTTACGTACTACATTGGAGGCATTGGAAGCACGGCTCTGCATGACCGTCCTGTGCATTGCAGCTCGACAGAACTCGGTGTTTTTGATCCCCCTGACGGCCAAACCTGTGGTGACTATATGAGCAAATATCTCGATTTAGCGGGCGGCCAGTTGTATAACAAGAACGCAACGTCCGGCTGCGAGTACTGTGCCATGGATTCTGCGGACCAGTACCTGGCCCAGCGGTGGATCTACTGGGAGGATCGCTGGAGAAACTACGGCATTTTCTGGGCGTACTTTGTGTTTAACATCATTGGGGCGATCACGCTCTACTATCTCTTTAGGGTACGGAAGATTAGCCTGAAGAAATCTTGAGGCCGCCACCATACCCCTTACTCTTTTCCCTTATCACTGTGCATTTCAGGCGCCAATATACACTATGTAGTGTTCCCTCAAGCCGCGGTCTGTGAGTTATTGTTCAGGCCAGGTCGAGCTTAGCATTTCTTATGCTCTGTAATAAATAATCATCAATAGAAGTCAAAAAGTCAGGATTAGTTTGTTATTGTGCTGTAAATACTCTCCAAAATGAATCACAACCCACCTACCTAGCAATATCATACATTCTAAGTCCGTTCAGATTTTCTTGGCCCAGGCTCCACCTTTTCCTTACATTGGGACTATAGTCAAGGCGATCTATTCGACCTGGGTGACGACATGACAGATCCAACGCTTGTCGCGCAGGCGCGAACAAAGCTCGAAATGGAACCCGACGCCGGAGTTTTTCCCTTCTGCTTCTTCCATGTTATCTCATGCGTCTAACAAAGACGGGTATTCTTCTGACCGCTGGGACACCAGCCGAGCGGCCTTCGTAGGAGACGACTAGAGGAGCTACCAAGATCTCACGGCTATCGTTAATTCAAACGCTATAGGTATCAACCAGAACGCCTAAGCTGCAATGATACGGTTAAGCATAAATATATTGTGATCTCACAAGACCATATACATATGAATTTTCAAATCACTGGTCTCGCGGTGGTTCAAAAGTCTCTTATTTCACTCAAGAATAGTTCATCGAATGTTTATCATGAATGATTGATGGAGAAAAAGCCGTTCTCGCAATAGCTGATAGCTGTTTTGGGGAGCACAGGGAATGGTCAGCATTTACATAATTAAGCACGCCAGTGCACCCTCCAAGCCCGGTAAAGGAGTTGGCAACGTATACTTTTTAAGTAGAAAGCTAAAACCCATATCGATGATCTTCAGTGGTAATCTATCTGCGAAATTTGAAACCTTTGTTGCGCGCAGAAACCCATATATAAAAGCATGTCATAAACACAATCTGCCAGTGTGACGACAGAGGTGCTTAGGGCCAGAGGCCTGTATAACCAGCCCGTCCCCCCCACTGCAGTTTTCTCGAACCCACGTAACGCCGCAAGCTGGTATGACTCTTGCCATCTTCGACACATCCTTGGCGCGACTACAGCCCATGTTCCCCCGAGAAACTGAGCATGTTGTCTATAGCCGACACTATACTCTAACGTCATTATAAACAGTATCATCCGCATGCATTCCAATGACTATCATAGTTGCTCGGGGCAAGTTCAGGCTGAAGAAGCATCAATAACACGTTGCGATGTCTGTACTTCTGGAGATAGACTTTTCAAGGCCGAGGCCAGTTCGTCCGCAGCTTGTAGGAGAGCATCGTCTGAAAGCGGCTGCAAGGCATCCAGAATGAATAGTACACGCGTGGTGTCGTCCGTCAGCGCCGTGCGTGGGCCCTGTCGCCAATTCCAGCGGCGGCACGTAATGCCAGCATTATCACACCAAATCGGCTCTCCGGGTGCGGCCAACTCAGTCTGGGGCTCACCCCCAGAGAAAGTCTGGAACGGCTCCTGACCGGTGGCGCGCACCAGGAATGGCGCTCCGTCGTACTTGTCAAGGTCTTCGCCGCCGAAGGGGATTTGATGCTTGACCGAAATTGCGTTGTATATGTCGGTTAACCGGTTGACCCGTGGTAAGCCAGTCGCTGCACGCCGTGTCAAGGCCTCTAAACTGTTGCGTGTTTTCTGGGGCTTGGCCCCAAAAGCCTTATACGCCTCCCGCCACGCCGCGATATGTGGAAGTTCCGTCACGGGTGATTTTGACAGCAATTCTTGGACTGTCGTTTCTGCTTCCTGCAGAAAGGCCTCGCTAGACTCATCGCTAGGCCCTGGAGGAATACCCTCTACCACCATCAAGAGGGCGCGGTAATCCGGACGCAGCTGGAAGATTTCCGGGGCGACACGCGCCGACTGCAGCAATTGCTGTGCGATTTGTGTGCTGCCCATGGCTAGTGGAGTCAGAGTGCTGAAGGAAGAATTCGCCAGTGGCCCGTATGAGAGACAGGGGTCCGGGTGGACAGAATCAGTGAGAAATAAGTTTAAGAAAGCAAGAGAAAGATGCGCTGGACATTTGCTTGACATGGTATAGTATTTATATAGGGCTTTCGAAGGAGTGGGTCAAGACCCACTCCCGTCAACTTCCTAAACAAGTAAGGCAACGGAAAGACTTCAAGATTTCACATCCTCTTTAAGTGGTGTATATGTGCAATCAGGTCATGCAAAGATTTTCCGTTCGTGGCAAATGTATTGTCACCCCTGCCGACTCGCCGGAGACACTTCACTTGGCTGGAGCGCCTACGCATTACCTTCAGAGCAGTCGTGTCAGTTCGTCGATAAAGTGGTACTGAGGACAGAAATGTCATGGCTCCCCCCTTGCCATAAAGCAGATGGTGCTCATCTGAACCAATTCAGCTGAGTTCATAACAACCAAGCCCAGAGCTGTTAGAAGGATTGCAAATGGTGTAAGCCGTTCATTGTGTCATTTCATGCTGGCTGATGTGACCCTCACAGACCGGACGGCATATGTATGCAATGTGGACTTGATATACCTGTCCGACTGGATAGTGTGGGCAATATTGAACTGGCTATGCAAATCATGCCAACGAAGTACTAGAGGGAGATTGTGCTCATAGTGTGATGGCTGCAGCTTACACTGGTTTGAGGTTAGAGGACAGAGCCAAGAGCATCGCAAGACAGCGATTTGGGAATCTGCAGGTGTCTAACCCCTTCCAGTGAGGCTTGTTCATCCTCTATCTCACCCACATGATACTCTGCACGCCGGGCTCTCTTGGGTAAATGCAAAAGTGGTGGGAGGTCGATTGGATGCTGTGGCTCATTACGATGATGGGCCTAGAGATGAAGTAACGTCCCATACCAAACGCGTACTGTACAATTAATTATCCATTTGTTCCTTTAGGGTACCAGCAAGCATGTGTCAGGTATGCACGTCTACGTCCATACCTCATTGGACACCCTGCAGCGAAGGCGCGGGGATTCCCACACATTGTCATCAGTGCTACGTTCACACACGAGGGTTGATTGACCCGCAATCAGGTTTGTGGAACCAGATTCATGCTCCTAGGGTATTCTAATCGGATCGCCTACGGATTGGCTTGCCAACTCTGACACGCAGGTAACACTGGGCTGAAGCTGCACTATTTCAGACGTACCTGGCGGTTGCCTAGTCCAAGGACGGTGCGTTATATAGACATCCGCCGACCTTCACCTCAACTCTTCCTCGCTAAATCAACATCACTTCCACGACATTTGACCCCTACTCATGATGTCTTCACAATCCTGGAGGGAAAGCTTCTCTCTCTTGAGGAGTGTGCTAAACCATCCTCTCTCTACGACACAGATTACCCCACTTGGCAACGCCTTCACTCCGCTCTTTTCCACGTCATCCGCGGTACTGGCGATGCTGATAAACAGAAAGACATCCTACTCAAGCTAGTGGGCAACGCTGGTCCGGGCGGAGACGATGTAGTAGCGTTGCAGAACCTAGCTGCGTTATACGAGGAAACGGGGGAGCACGATCAGGCAGAGAGGCTCGCGAAGGAGACTTTGCCATTGCTTCAAGAACATAGAGCTCTGGGACTGGATAGTCCCCAGTCTCTTGGGTCACTGCGTGTCTTGATCAAAGCTCTTTGGAAGCAGGGGAAGGTCGAGGAGGCGAAACAGGTGATACAAGAGGCGTGCGGTAGTGTTGACAGATTGGCAGAAGGGCAGTTCTCAGATTTCCAGCAAGAAGAGAGGGAAGCACTAGAGACAGTTGTCGCTGACTTGAAGAAGTAAACGATCGTTTGTTGATATTGTGTCGACTTGCACTCGATTGACCTTATGGACTTCGTGATGATAGCAGTTTCACATGAAAAGAAAACAGGATCATGGCATGAGTGAACATTATCTATACTACCTCTCTTCTATAGATCCTAAAACAAGAGCCCTGTCTAAATAACCCCCAACACTCCCCTCCATGCTTCGATGTGCTCCCAGCTACGACAAGTATACACCACGCCCCACCCTTGCAACGAACTCTTGCCCTTCTCTGGCTTCTCATCGGGCGGCTCCAAAGTCACGCCCCGAGCACATCACCGACTGTCTGATAATCCAGACAATGCTTAAGATGTTTATGCTCGAAGCCATGATCATCCGGTGTGCCCTGTCTAGGTCTCTCCCGACGCATGATAACAGGAAGAAGAGCTAGGTGTATAAACTTGAGGCAGTGAAGCTGGTGGCAGACGGAGACCATAAAGGTATTGTTCGTACCAGGAACAACAAGCGGCTGCGGATATTGGGATATGGGTATTTCAGAAGGCTCTGGGTAAATACTCGGCTGTATATTAGGTGGCTGAGACAGCATAAGGGCTGGTCGCATAAAAGCCAATCGCACACAAGCCGGCCACATAGAACTTGTTTGCACGTATAATACTAGGACCCTAGACGGAGCTTGATTCCAGAGACAAAGCTCGCCTTCGCCATTCTAATGACCGACGCGATTTCGTTTCACAGAAGAGTCAAATCTCCCGAGAAGGTCAACGCGAATGTCGTCGTCCGGTTTGCAGATAAAATTCCTTCGCCAAATCTCCAGAACATCGGGGTCAATAATCGACATGATAGGATTATTTTTAGGGCGAATCTTGGGTAGGATAGGAATGAAATGCCTCATGGTTTGCTTTCCCTACAGCTGTCCCCAGTTCCCATGACATGGGCGTTGTGTTGATGAAACACGCCATGGATAGTAATGAAATAGAACGTGTATTGATGATAGTAGTAGTAGTAATGGGTTATTATGATGGCCAGTGACCCAAGGGAGATTACCGCAGCTCAAGACGAGCCGACCATCCCATGTATGTACGAGTACCTGAACAATAAATTACAGCAGAGGCGTGTCAGAGGCGTCTGAAAGTTACGGAACTGACCACCGCTTGGCGCCAAGTCTCCTAGAATGGTGTAGTCACCTGCCGATTAAAGTTAGTCTCTATTTTGCCTTGAACGAGCTGATTCGTAAGTATCGGTAATACACAGGATTCAACCCTTGCGATCAACATCATTCTGAGACTCTCTTCTAACTTACATCGTACCTTCAAAATTTTCTAGAAATTGTTGAACAATGGTATGATAAGCTTTCCACCCTGACGTGTAACAGAAGTGCCGGATAACAAGAAGGAGTGTCTTTAATCGGTGGAGTGATAAGAATATGTACATGCCTGAGAGGCTACAGGACCTGTAAAAATATATCTGAGATATCGTCTACAACACATTCGGATGTCAACTCTTGAATTCCGAGTCCTTTCACTCTATCGTAAGAGGATCTACTATGAGATAAATGTACGTGGACCTCACTATGGCTCGCAGAGATGGGAACTTTTAGAATCTACTTCAAGGGTGAAAGGCTCTTGTTCTTATAGACGAATAACTGCCCACCATAACTCATTCACTTGACCGGAGAGACCCGTCAATTTGTGCTGAAACCTCGGCGTCCCATGTTTTATCTGTTGATCTGATTGCATTTGTGTTTCACAGAGGCAGCGTATTCTCGCACTTAGACCAGGGGAATTAGGTGGAAGATGTGAAACAGCATTCAGTGATGCCCTGGGGATCCATAATGCTACTGTCACAACACTCATCGAGCATAAATGTCCACGGGTCGACCGGCGATGCACCAGAATCTGTCCACCCCAGAGTTGCTAGAGTCAATTCTGTTGCATCTGGACCTTCGTACACTCCTGACGTCCGCCCAAAGAACCTGTCAGGTATGGCAAAATCTAATACAGGAGGCACCGGGATTGCAGAGAGCTCTCTTGATGGGGATTCCCACGGTCGCAAAGTGCAGTCTTTGAGCTGGCGCGGTGGCATTCGTTCTGGGGCGCGTTTGGCGTCTATCTCTATTACGAGGTTCCGGTGCGTGAGGGAATACGTAGTTAATATCAGGCACTCGTGGCGAGGCTAATTAGAGCATATCTTAGAAATCTCGCAAAACGCGAGACGGTCTACGCATGGAAACGCTGTTCGAGCATATCCTCTTTGCCCCACAAACTCGGCTTGGGCTTATGGAAAGTGCCAAGGATTACCTGGTGGGGGTGGGATACGTCGGACCGGTCAATCGGGAGACATCTCGAGAGCTCTGGGGAGTTTGTAGTCGATGTCGATATCCTGATCTCCTCCGATAGCAGTCATGGCTGCGAGCCCCCGATTCCCGGGAGGACCACACTTTGGCTGCACGATTGGACTGGCAGGGATGGCATGGTTATCAGGGATTGATGGGAGATGTACGCCAGCTGCAATTCCAGTTTGGCCCCGAGATATACGAGGATCTGTAGAGGCCTAGATCGTTCGTTTGACTCATAAGGACAAGCGGATCAGCCATCCGATGAGTCCCGGAATCGCACCCCGAGTCGACGATTTGGGAAGCAATTTCCCGGGCCAACTCATCTTGATGACTGTTGCTCAAGCCCCGCAGCGTCCTATACCCTCATAAATTCCCAGGTCAGTTCAGGATGACCTCGCACACTTCATACGTCCTCCCTACCATGGCTGCATCAGATCGTGGAAAGGGTTTTGTCTCTTCCGGAGTGGAAATCAACCATCCAGCAGTCGGTGCCAGTGAGTCTCGCCGACCGGGGGATGGCTTCCAAGTGGAGGACGATCGTACGGTCCTGCAGGAGACAACTACCGATGCAGACGCGTTCCCAGATGGCGGTTATCGCTCCTGGCTCGTGGTTCTGGGCTCGTTTTTGCTGCTGATGTCGTCCTACGGGCTGATGAACTCGGTCGGGGTGTTACAATCCTATCTGGAATCTCACCAACTAGCGAACTACTCGAGCCAGAATGTCGGTTGGATCTCAGGGCTCTTTGTCTTTGTTTCGCTGGGCCTGGGTGTCTTCGTGGGCCCCTTGTTCGACACCTACGGACCGAGAGAACTGGTCTCCGCCGGGTCGGCCTTTTATGTGCTGAGTCTCTTCCTGACCGCGGAATGCACCGAGTATTGGCATTTCATCATCTGCTTCGGCATCATGGCAGGCATCGGGGGTGCGTTCACGAGCACCATTGGGATGTCCTGTGTCCCACACTGGTTCCAGGCGCGCGCCGGCATGGCGATCGGAACGGCCATGGCGGGCGCAGGTCTAGGCGGCGTGGTCTTCCCTTTTATCTTAAAGGGTGCCTTTGCCAATCTGGGCTTCCAGTGGGGAATGCGCATCGTCGCCTTGGTCATCCTGGTGCTGTGCGGACTGGCCTCATTCCTCGTCAAATCCCGCCTTCCTAAGGGACAGCTGAAGGCGGCGATCGATATTCGGTGCTTCAAGGACTCTCGCTTCACACTGCTGAGCTGTGGGATTTTCGGTAGGTTCTTTGCGATCCGTGCGATGTTATTATATCGCTAACAGCAGTAGCGCTCGAATTGGAAATGTTTGCCCTCATCGGGCTCTTTCCCACGTACGTCATCAAACAGGGCTTCAATACCAGTGCGAGTGTGTATACCTTGGTGGTGCTCAATGTGTATGTTTTCCCGTTGGGTTGATATCGGCTCATCCGTTCTCACAAGAGCTATAGATGCTCCTGCATCGGTCGACTCCTCGCCGGCCGGGTCGCCGATCGATACGGTCGCTTGAACGTCCTCATTATCTTGATTTTATCGGCTGTTCTGACGATGTTTACAATTCTGTACCCGTTCAGCCGACATCTGTCAGCATTGTATGTCTTTAGCGCCCTATATGGTCTCTGTTCAGGGTCGTTCATCAGCCTCGCTCCTGTCTGCATCCGGCAGGTGTCCAATGCCAAAGAGATCGGGATGAGATTTGGGACATGCTACTGTCTGGTGAGCTTCGCGTGAGTATCATCTCGGCTGCCAGTGTGTCTCGACACTATACTGACAGCGCTAGGACGTTGATCTGTATCCCGATCGGAGGCGAGATGTTGGAGAAAGTTGGCTCGCGTATTGTAGTTATCTGGCTTGCATGCGTGCTCTTGTTCTCCATGTTTCTATTTATGACTGCGCGGTGGGCGTGTCTCGACTACAAGTGGCATTGGCGGATTCGCATCTAGCTCCTGGGCTATTATGGACCGGAGATATCACCCAAAGTCACCAATCAGTCTGGCACCTGTGGGGATCGCTGCAGGGAAAAAGCTAAATGCGGCGATTTGGATATGCAGATCCGAATCCTACAATGGCACTCTGCTGATTTGTCATCTGCAAGGTTGCTCCAGCCTCCTAAACAAGGGATAAATCCTTTCGAGCCCACCTCCAACATTCTTTCACCTCATTAATCGGAAGAACAGTCACAGTGGAGATGCATGTGTACATATCTGTGCTGGCCTGGTTAGCCTGTGGACCGCTGGCCCTCCTTGCTACCAGTATCCATGATTTCTCACCGGAGCCGGTGGACCAGGGCATCGCTCTGCGGCAGCTTGCCCGCGAGGCGACTGAAAATATCAAGAGAGATCGGACGGGAGGCTGCCGACCTGAAGATGCCCAAATACGTAAAGAATGGTATATCTCACAGTGGTCCACGTGCTTTTCTGTTGACATAAGAGATTTAACCTGTTGGTAGGCGTGAGCTGGCCCCAGAGGAGAGACAGCAGTTCACGGACGCTGTTCGGTGTCTGCAGAGCATTCCAACCACTCTATCAGCTGATCTTCGCCAGATTTATCCCGGGATACACACTCGGTATGACGAATTTCTGGCCACACACATTAATCTGACCAGTGTTATCCACATGACTGTAAGATTCGACTATTTTGCGCGAATAGAACGTTGAGAACCATGGTTGTCTGACAAGTACAGGCGGACTTCCTTGCCTGGCATCGGTATTTCATCCACACGTTTGAGCAGGATCTCAAATCCAAATGCGACTACGCGGGATCCCTTCCGTACTGGGATTGGGGATTGGACGCCGAGAATCCCCAGCTCTCCGTGCTGTTCAATGGGGACGAGTATAGCATGGGATCGAACGGGGTGTTTATACCGAACCGAGATCCGGCATACTGGCCCTCCATCAAAGAGTACATCCCAGTTGGTACGGGCGGAGGGTGTGTGTACGAGGGGCCCTTCTCGAACTATACCATCAACATGGGTCCGATTGATGGCGCGGGCCAAAAGCCAGTGAACTACCGCTTCGAGCATCATCCACACTGCCTCAAACGTGATATCAACCCAACTGTCACACGGTCCGCCGTGACCTTTCGTCATATCACAGAGTTGATCCTGTCCTATGATACCATTGACTGGTTCCAGGGCGTGATGCAGAGAGATCCTCGGTTTTCTGTTCCCTCGGTGCCGTACGGTGTTCATCGTGGCGGGCACGTTGGCGTCGGTATGGTCATGGGAGATGCAGCTGGTAGCCCTGGCGATCCCATGTTCTATCTGCACCATGCGCAGATTGATCGAGTGTGGACCATCTGGCAGGGACTGGACCTAGACAAGAGAAGGCATGCCATCTGGGGCACGCACACCATCGCCGACACGCCCCCGACGGCCAATATGACGTTGGACGAGATGATTCATTTTGGATTTGCCGCTGAGCCGGTGAAATTCCGGGACCTGATGGATACGCTTGACGGGCCATTTTGTTATTATTATAGTTGAATACGCCAGCACTACAGGACGGAGAATGCACAATAGATTATGGGTGTTCTTCATTCGCTCATATAGTTGATATAATACAAAACGCTCGGCCGGGACCCAGTCCCCAGCCATGCAAAGGTCTATCTCTATTTACAAAAAAAGACAGTCGCGGGCGCGATTCCTGAGGGCCGTCCAGGGCACTCGAGAGTCAGGCGCTCACTCGCGTACGGTGTCCGTGTTGAATCGGCAGCGTCGCTCGCAGTGTAGAACGACATACAGTGTGCGATATATCATACAAGCCAGTCCACAAAGCGTTCCCAAACATTCTGGGGAGGGCGTCTTTGCACCAGGATCTCCCCTTCTTGCAGACGGCCCGACCACAAATCCATATCGGCAGCCCGGACAAACTAGACATTTCATACGGTCAGCGAACTTCCTTAACCAAGAGACTGCGAGAGCCGTCCAACTAACCTTAGTACGTTTGATGAGCTTCCATAAGATAATCGGTACAATGAAGATGGGGATGCCGATGTACGACGCCACAAAGTCCGACGAAGACCAATTACCCTTCAAGAAGACGGGGAATCCAGCGACTAAAGTGATGATGGTGGAGCCAATAAATCCTACCCAGGCAGCATAGGGTTGCAGGGGTGCCTTCCACGGAAGTGTATCACGAGAGATACCCTGCCTTTTCATGGCAGCGTGGAAACGAATGTAGCAGAAGGAGAGCGTGGCCCATGCGATCAATCCAGCCACCGTGCTGAGATTCAGAAGCCAGGAAAATGCCTGTGCTGCGCCGCCAGAGCCGAGACCTAACGGTTGTTTTCCATTAGTACATGATGAACTAGTTATGGTATGAAGGGATTGGACCCGGTGATATTTGACTTACTCAGGTACGCCAATGGCCCAAACAGCCAAGCGGTAATGACAGCGACGTAGGGCACGCCTTTCTTGGTAACGCGGCCGAAGAATTGGGGTAGCTGGTGGTCCGTGGTCATGGCCACTATCATGCGTGAGCCCACCCAGCAGTACGAGTTACCAGCGGACCATGCGGCAACAAGAATGCATGCATTGACAATCGACGGCAGGGCATTGATGCCGGCCTCCTTGATGGCGATCACGAAGGGCGAGCTGTTCGCGTTATCGGAGCCCGAGACGAGGGCTGGGTTGCGTGGATCAACAATGATGCCAATCAGCAGGGCACCAAGGATATAAAAGAAGGCGATGCGGTATGTCACACGGCGCGCAGCCTTTGGGATCGCGTGATGGGGATTAACTGACTCCGCGGCGGTGATAACCACGGTCTCGACACCGATGAAGCTGAAGGAAGCGTTGACAAAGGACGACAGAAAGCCCAGGAAGTGACCCGTTGGACCGGTGATGCCGTTATAATTCGTCCACGGTCCAGGATTATTCCAATAGCGGAAGCCGATGGCATCGTTGTTCGCTCCACCAGCTGTGATCACAATGGAGACAATCACTAAGCCGAGAAAGCAGAGGACCTTGACTGCACCGCCGAAGACTTCAGTTTCGCCATAGAACCGCACACTCATTAGATTGCTGGCCAGGATCAACACTAGACCCACCGTGATGACCACGGCCGGTGTGAGGTCAGTCCAATAGGAGACAATGACAGCAGCAGCGGAGACCTCCGAGGCGATAGCAATCGTATAACAGTATCCATAGGAGATGGCTAGCGAGAATCCGACGGCCGGATCGATGAAGCGAGTGGCCCAGTGAGGGAAGGATCCGGCTGTGGGCAGCAGGGTTGCCAGCTCGCCGATGCTCTGCATCACACACCATAGCACCAGGCCCACGACGATATATGCCAGTAATAAGCCAGCTGGGCCAGCCTTGGCATACGCCGCGCCTGTTCCCACAAACAGACCGGTGCCAATTCCACTGCAGAAACCAATCATGGTGACATGGTAATTCCGGAGGCGGCGTTGTGTCGCTCCGCGACCACCCACATTGAGCTGGAGTTCGTCCTTGGGAGGCGCATCATACTCATTGTAGCCGGTGGGCTGAATAGCCTCCTCAGCCAAGGTGGACTTCTCCATGGTCTGCCTGGGAATATTGGGTGGGATGGATGAACGAGTGTGGGAATCCTTTCCCTACGCAGAATTACCCCAGAGATAAAAAGACATGTCCCCATGCCGGGCAAAGCTTCTTTTTTTCGCCTCCCAGGATTTCTCGCCAGTCACAACATCGCGCTTTCATCTTGCACGATCTTTGGTTCTCCCCACTAGTGGAGTTGCTGAGGGAGTATAATTGGCTCTGAGAGCGGATTCCTGACGCGATGCCGGACGAGCCAACGATTTATGCGGGATGATATGCGGCTATGACTAAGGCTCGGCTCCGGTATTCGGCTTCGCTTCTGCAGAATTTTTCCTGGCCGGGATTGATTTCCATTGGATTTTTGCCTTGACGGGCTGGCTTGGCTTTCCATTATGGCAACTGACTCAGTTAACTGTATGAAAATGTCCGCATCCGAAAGCTCCACCTAGGCGACCGCTATAGATTGTAAGTCCAGTAGGGGTTGTTATTTAGGGCAGGTTCAGGGCGCATTTCATGGTTCCCGAACCAGGCTCTTCCTCTTCCTACGCAGTATGCTTGGAATTCTAGCTAGACCTCACAAATATGATCAGCGATGGAATGGCCGTCACAGCCTCTTCACCATCAAGCACATCAGAATTATACTCTAGACCGCCTGGCAACATTGCTATACTCCGCATCGAGTGGGTACTCAACGGCCAATTAACCGATTGTACAGAACATGTATGCTAGACAGTATGTACCTTATCAACTTCCTCAACTCGCTAGGTCAATCAGAAGCCGTGGTGTGGATATTTAAACCCCTTCCACCACCGGTCCATGGTAGACATGTCGGGCCCGAACCACATAATATACAACGGCGATAATGACCGTCCCGAACGTCCCAACCACACTGTAGTTCATAGACTTATAATCCACCACCACTGTTGTGGGCCAGAAGCTAAAAAAAATCACGATAATCATATAGCAAACAGCAAAGATATTGTTGACAACACCGAGAACCCCAGGAATACGGAACGGCCCCCAGACTAACGAAGCATTGGGGACATTGACAGTCATGTCTTCGCATTCACTGCTGGTGCGGATGTGGCCACGAAGACGCCGGTAGAGCAGCAAGGTCCCAACGGTCAGGTATGACAGGTAGAGGCCCGAAACAGCCATAGACAGGATGTCCTTCAGCGCGACATCGGAGCCGATATTAATCAGGCCGAGCAGACATGATACAACCATGGTGAAGCACACAGAGTAGATCGGAATATTCGTGGTAGGGGAGACCTGCGCTTCCCCGTCAGCTACTGCACAAATCAGAATGCGAAGAAAGAAAGGAGAGCATGCCTTGCTCCATACCCTCCATCCGGGCACGCCTCGATCGCGTGCAAAAGACCAGAATTGGCGCGAGGTCGCAGCGATCATTCCAATGGCAGAACAGATGCAAATCACAAGCGCGATGCATATCATGGCCACAGTACCACCTAACGAATTAGTTGCCTGAAAAAAGATTTCCATGTAAGGATATCCCGTGGGACTTTTGGTCGCTGCCTCAAGATCGCCCATACAAAACAAGACCCCAATCAACATGCCAAATCCGAGGGCACCGTTTATTAGCGCAGTAAGTATCAAAGCACGAGGGATGACCACTGAGGCCTTGTGAACTTCTTCGGCCATCTATTATCCCGTTTAGAAGCCAGCCTATATGTTCCTTCACAATGAAGGCGACTTACATGGACGGCGGCATCGCCACCAGAAAACGCAAAAACGCTACCTTGCATCCCAATGAAGAAAACGATGCCGTTAGAGGACCAGCCACCGCTGTTTGTCCATGTGGTAAACACCTCCTTAGCGCTTTTGTGATCCGCCACGGAGGTGAGAGTGATTAGAATGGCCAAAAACCCAACAATGTGCAAGACAAAAACAAGGTTTTCAAGACGTGGGAGCAATTTACCACCGGTCGCATTTACTGCTAGAGCGAGTATCACACACGCCCATAGGATAAGAGTCCCATGGTAGTGTTCGCTCTGGTAGTTCTTGAAGGTCAAGATAGCGGCCCCCTGGATCTCGGTACCGCTCAACAGGGCGATCGATGCAAAGGCGGTTTGCCAGGCAAATACCGTTATCCAGCCTAAAGATATCAATGCCGACCACCGACAATAGTCGAAAGAGGTAATACGCACCCGTGATATAGCTATAAAACTTCATGCAACTAGGGGGCGCAAGCATTGCACACCAATGATATTGTCCTCCAGAGGTAGGCGCCCTGCGTGCCACTTGTCATAAAGTTGATTCATCAAGCACAGGGACGAGGAGCTCACATGGAAGATAGTTCGGCGAGAACCAAAAAGCAGGATGCAGTTCCGATCCATGCAAAGATATACTCGTAGACGGCACCTGCAGGTCCTCCACTAGATTTGTTTAGCTAGGTCAGGCAGGAATAGTAGAAGGAGTCCAACTTCGTCATAGGAAGCAGAAAGGTGCTGACTACATGTTAATATTCGTTCATTTACAGTATATGGACATGACTTGCTTCAGGATTCCTTCCCAAGTGGAGGTAATCGTGCAGCTGAAGGCGAGAATCGATAGAGTGCTAAAGTTGCGCTGGAGGATAGCTTAGTATACGACAGATGACTGCGGAGCTGAGCCGAAGATCTAAGGTACTTTAAGAACGGCTCTCTTCCCAATTCTCGCAAGGTCCAGATCGTCGCGATCCTGACTTGGACAGTGACCGACTTCCACTCGGTTCTTCATCTCGTACGAAGCCATCCTGATTGTTACGGGCTGCGCTGGGAAGTATTCAACTCTGTAAATAGAAGAGAATCTGCTGGGGTAATTCATAAGATAAAGTGGGGAAAAGGGGGGAGAAAGAGAAACATTCGCATGGAGACTGGATTTCACGGGTCAAGAGGAATATAATCGCCCCTGAAATTACTACTGCTGTGTGTGAGGGGCAGTTAAATGCAGTCCTGGCCGTGCTCTTCTTTGTGTTACTCTACCTTCTCGTTTCATATGGGTCACTCCTAGAGTCTCGACCCTGCAAGTCTATTGACTGTTGAGAGTATAGTATATCTTAGTATACAGCAGCTACGGTCGTTAGGTTCATTAATCCTATTAGAATCAAGGAGCCTACTGCGCATGTCCCGTAGTAGTAGGGGGTTTCATTTTGTTGGCCGGAGTGTCAGGTATAGACCACTTGGTCCAGAGTAATCTTCCAATGAACGGACAGTTAGAACGCTAATCAATCGTACGGTATATTTAGCGCGACTCTGTACTGCTATCTAGCCTTAAGGAGTAAAAGAGAGGTAGTACTAGGGTTCGTTGATGGTGTGATCATCACTGACTTCTTTGTTAGCTTTTCAAAAGGCGCCCTTGGCATTGTGACACTTGATTCAGTCCTTATATAGTATGAGGCCATATATAGTTGCACCTCTAGTCAACCCCAGGTTCAATGGAAGGCTTCGCTGCATATATCGTATTGACGAAGTGCTGAGTTGGTGTTCTTCAGAGTACCCAACCTATGGCACAATTTGAACCAGCTAGCTGGAACCCTGCCGTTGCAGTTATAACATGGCTTCTGATGAGTATTACTATACTAGCGGTCATATCCCGACTCGTAACCAAATGGCTGATGGTTGGAGGGTTAACAACCGATGATGCCTTCATCGTTATATCGCTTGTAGGTTTGCCAAGCATCGGCAAAACTCCCTTGAATGACTGACAATGTAGGCATTTTCCATTGGGAATAACATTACCATTGCGATGGCCACTGCCCATGGCTTCGGTAATCACACCGACGCGATAATAGCATCCATGCAGGATATTGTGATGAAGGTCAGTTGATGTCTCCAACCGCCTCGAGCTCGTATGTCTTCTTACCCATCACAGTCACAGCTCGCCGGGTCACTGCTGTTTATATTGAGTTTGCTTTGCTCCAAATTGGCCATGATTGTCTTTATCCGTAGCCTTACTCCGGCTTCCCGAGACCGTGCCCTCGCCCGTGTTTCCCAAGGGCTGGTGATAGTAACTGCAGTCACTGCCTTTTTCGGAACAGCCCTCCAGTGTCATCTTCCAAGAACCTGGGACTATCTCAATGGGCAATGTATCGACCGTGTAAGACTACACATGGCAGCCTCATCATACCCGGACACATATTAATGAGCCATAGGTTGCCTGGGTCGTGTTCCTTGCCATCACGAATGGAGCAACAGATATCGTGATCGTTGTCCAAGCCATGGTGTTGATCGTCCATGTCCAAACTACGGGGAGGAAGAAACTTGTGTTTGCCAGTATTTTCATTCCCCGGCTCCTGTATGATTTCCGTCCTTCTATTGGTACTGAACTATTGACACCCTTAGTGTTGTCGCATCAAGTATCGCCGAAATAATCCTTACCGAAGCAGGCGCCCCTTCCACTGACCCCTTTATCAACGCAGCCCCAAGGACAATCTGCATGGAGATCACCCAGTCTCTTAGTATCATCACAGCCTGCTGGGGTCAGCTGAAGCCTTTCCTGGTTCGACTCCGTTCCAACGCATTTTGTCTTCATAACAACCAATGGTCCAGTACCACGTACAGCGGCGGGGTACGAGCACCACAAACCTCTTCCACCAGTAAGGGGGCACTTTCCGAACCTGGGGGTGAATTCGCTCTGTCCCCCATGTATGGGACAAAGACAAAAATATCAACATCGCGGGCATCTGCGGAGTGGGAGTCGCAAAGTCAATCAAGCGAGACGTATATCATCCGGGAAACGAGGACATGGACGGTGGACTCACCGACAGTGTCGAGGACCCCAATTGCAGTGTCGGGCAGCGGTGGCATTAAGAAGTGAGACCCGGCAGATTAGAGTGGATGCCGAAGGTGCTGACACTTAGTTCCGGTGGAAAGATATCTGACAGATAATCTACCGGTCATATGAAATAGTATTACGCCTTGTCCAATTCACAAAATCGAGACTTCTAATTGTATAAGCATGACCATAGCATTTGGTAAGCTGGACTATACATTTGTTTCTAGACCGTGTTTAGCCTTCTTGAAATACATCGTCCGTCGTATGCAGGGTGACACCCATCCGTTTCCGATGAAGCCCTGATTGCCTGGCATTGTTTATTTATAGACCCACTGCACAGAGAATACTGTTCAAGGCACCGGTGAATAGAGGTGATGGGCTAGGACTATAAACGAGCCACGAGGAGCGAGGTTGCATGGCCCAACAAAAACTTGGAAGATGCACATTCTGTTTTGATTAACACGCATAAGCAACATTCGAACATCAGGGGGTGCTTTAATCACTTCACTCACCGTACTATGTGAGCACCATGCCTCCAAGGCTGGTCTCGGAAACGAAATAGTTGTTAATCCAGCTTGCAAAAACCCTTCTAATCACCTAAACACTATGGGTTGGGGTGAGTGCTGTATGTTCAACTTTGCCTAGGCCAGACCCGCTACGCCCTTTCCAACCCGTGTCATGACTTGCTAACATAGAACATGGTAGACGGAGGGAGCAACATGATAGCCTATGCTATCATATGGCAACCTGGTAAGAAGAATAGTATTTCTCGGCGGTCGGTTTCCTGGGAACTGGCTTTGATACATTCCGTACCCAGCGTATGGCACATCGGGCTAATGGAGAACGAGACGCTGCATTCGAGAGCAGCCTAACGGATTGTCAAATGTCTTCGAAAGCTGTAATGGCACCACGGATACGTTGAAAACGATGAACTACTGATTGACACTGGGGTTCAGCGATGACCTAAGTAAGCTATCGTATTATGAGCAACTTACTATATAAATAATATCGCGACCAGCAGGAAAAGGAGACTTGAGGCTATTGTGAGCTTAATTGCGCGTGACAATGACGAACGCTTTGTTGTAAGTATGCTTTCGTGGACTGGTCTCTCCAGGTCGGTAGCAGGTGTCGAGGTCGAGAAAGATAGAGGTGTAGGTTCTTGTATATCATGATACTGGATTGTCTGGTCCCGGCTTACAGTCGTTCCAGGTTTGCGCTTCCCCGTTGGCTTTGTGATGTTATCCATAGCACCAGTAAATCGTAATCCTGCCTATGTTGATGTCCTGTCTGAATGTGCAATAGAATATTTCATTTGGAAGTCTCAAGGCTATGGAGGTGCAGCTCATCAGGAGAAGGAAATTTTCATATTGGAAGATAGTTCTAGTGCCCCTTATTAACATAGGACTGTCCACAAGATGTGGACTGTGCAACGGATATCATATTGCCTTGCCAGGAAGGTGAGATTCAGGCATCCCTCGTTGCCTGAAATAGAAGGCGATTCAGGAATCGGATGTCAGATGTTAGTATACAACCCGGTAGCAATTAGTATTAGATGGTATAGGTCCTCATGATAGAGTCTGGACTGTCAGAAGTTGATGTTTCGTTCGGGTAGACCTCCCTGCAGATATGCACGGTATCATCTGAGATTCTGTATAGTAAAGCATCGAATCTCAGACATATGGGGAAACAAGAGATGAAGGGCACTTGTCTGGCCTACATAAAGCACCCTGTGTCATTACCTTTTCGCTTTTGTCCTCCATTTCCCGTTTACACGGTGCATTGCTTGTTTCCTTGTCCCGAGCAACTCAGGCAAGCTGAAAGGAATGTGACAATTACTGCGCGTAAAAAGAGTCGAGGACAAGGAGATCAGAAAGATAGAAGACCAGAAAGCTATGCCTCTCACAGAACAAGACGAAAACCTGTTAGGTTGCCGTTGATCATTCCTTTCTTGTCTTTGGAGCCTCAATCCATCACAACAGATTCTGATTGAGTGGTTGATTAGTATTACCGGATTGGGTCAAAGAGAGGTTGAACCCACGGAAATCCCGTGGCGGGAAAAACCCTTAATGGCCCACTATGCCAGATTGGTGAAGGGTTTGCCAAGACCACCTTGGCTTCCACGTCTACGGCTTCCTATATGACAGCCAGCATGGCGGTAAAGCGGATCGCTGTGGGTAATATGCAATAACTCTAAACTCCTATACACACTTGCCACAGCTGGATAGAAGAGTCATTGACGCAAGATCCGATCCAGTGGCGCCGCGGTCTAGTCGTGTCATGACTCATTTCTCTTCCAAGAGCATGTTCAGGAGACACTGCCCAATAACTTTGCGGGCGCGCTCACTGAGCTGGTCCAGGCCGTCTGCGAACCGTATAACAAACTCCATCTCCGGGGTTTCGTGCCGGTGATTCAGATCGCAAAACTCACCGAAGAGAATTGCATACAGTATCTCAACCTCGCCTCCCCACCGGTGGTGATACGTTGTCAACAATTCATCCAATACCGCTAACTGGTTGGTGAACGAACGGTCTATGCTGATACCTCCGCCGAGTGCTGATGTCGAGGAGTAAATTGATTCCTGGAAAATGACACCGAGGAACACCAAGCACTTCAACCGTCGGGTACACGCTTCTGATGGTTCCGCTAGTAACTCAGGCTCGGGAGCCTGGTGGAATGAGTTGTATAACAGGATGGTCGCGTCATATACAGCTGGGTATATCTGAAGGCTTTCTATCACCTTTGATCGATGCCGGTCCACTGTTAATTGTAGCGTTGGGTGAAGGGCCGTCGGTGTGAAGCGCTCTGACAACTCCCATACATGCGTGGATGGCTCACATTGTCGCGATCCCGCAATGAAGAAGGCACTGGTAGATAATCCGTTACGCTTGCGTCAGTCTCCAAGAATTTCTTTTCCTTAGGGTCATCAGTGTGAACGGCGGATGACAATACTCACAAAAACACGACGAGTTCCACACGCCAGTCCTCTCGCAATGCAGAAAGACCGCCTTTTGCGTTGATCAGCCGTTGTAGCCCATCTCGATGGACTTCCCACTGGCCATCTGTTCCCCAGTATTTCTGCACACGGCGGGAACGGTCAACAGAATCACAAAGCAAAAGACTCTTTATGCCTTGAATCATATAAGATGGAATCGTCGCCATACTCGGCCTGGGCACGTACCTCAAACATCAAAAGCCGTACTACAGAAACGAGGGTTTCGTTTCGAAGCGCTTGCTCAGGATCGTCTAGCCATTTCGTGATGACACTGATGGCTTCAGTTTTGTATCGAAGAGCTTCGGGCGAGGCGAGCTCACCGTGAAGGTAAGCCAAATGGGCTGCTGCGTGCGCCATAGTTGCGTTGAACGAGGCGCTATTTGACAGGTCCAATGGCAACCAAACCTCCCTGATGGGATCAAAGGCCGCGTGGGGGAGGGCGGTCGACATCCCACTGGTGTGTGTGCTCAACCCTATCGACGTCAGCCACAGGATTCAACCTTTGACGGCGACCGTGGCTAAGTTTGCCATCCGTCCAGTATACTCACAGTGGTACAATAACTTGCGGTGTTGCGCCGTCAATGTCACCGGAAATGTATGGAAAGGGTCGTAGTTGACAAATTCCAGGGCATGACGGATTCCAGACAAGATTTGGGCCGGGATGCCCGAAGTCTCCGCGTTGCTTTTGCCTGCATTTGCTGATCCTGCCCCGTCATCCTTTTGCTGGAGAGCTGACATCTGTTGCCGGAATTCCTTCAGCCCCTCGAACTGGCTGTGGGTTTGCATGCCATCATTTGGCATTAGTGTGCGGGGATAAAGACGGCGGCCGGTGGAAGATAGGCCGCTTGGGTCTTCTTTTGCGATAGCTTGTTTCTGTCTCCAAAATTGTCGCATGGCATGGCTGCGAATTCCAGGCTGATCCTTCTCCAATACAAATTCGAACTGTGTCCCCGCATCGTTTCGGGGGTGCTCCCTTCGATCTGGGCCTTTCTTCTGACGTTCCTGGTGGTTCATTGTCGTAGGACGAGAGCACTAATACACTTCACTTCAAACCGCCGGATGAATTGATTCGGGCCGGGGTTCAACAGAATAGGCTTTTCATTTTGGGATCTGAACCCTACTTTTCGTGTTCCCACGCCGTCGTATATCGGCTGAGAAGTGGCAGAAGGTTGTGAGGGACCCATTTAGTGTGTGGATCACATCTAGCCGATAACGTAGAATGAACCTATGCAAGGGTCAACATGACCGTCGACTCGGTCTTCGGGGTCTACATATCGCTCGGTAGATGTGTTATACTCCATAGACATGTCTTTGCTCATCTGAAACGGCACAGGGAAACCATAGTAGCTGCGCTACGTGTCCCCTTGACGGTACTCATGATCCTATCCGACGCATGAGGGTCGATTTCAGCCAGCAATGGAAATAGTATCTGACCAATCACCGGTCTCGCAGTGGCCCTCTGACGAGTCTGGCATCGTACTAACTGAGCTTGGAAGGACTAGTTAACCTATCGTTACATTCCATCAGCCTGGGTGGAGATTGTTAAGATCAAACAACCAACACAGAAGGAGTATTTACCAGCATAACATTATTTCCTATGTCATCTATTCGTTAGCGTTCTTGCCATGAGAGCGAGCGTTTTGCTAGGCCCAGTGTCAACGTCCTTCGACGACATGAAGCCTGTGCTTTATGATCATAAATCTTCCTGTATTCCCCTGAACTCTCACTTGGTTGTCAGTACCAGGAACAAAACCTAAATATGGACAACGAAATTTGTTGAATCTCGCTTTTGGAACACGACCCTGAGGCTGTCATTGTGGAATTTTGCCCCGATGGCGAAGATATCTTTCCATACCCCCGGAAAGGTCGCATGAAAACTCACATCAGAACATTAGGGGGCGAATACCTGTGGGTCGAAAGGACGGGTCGTAGGCACAACAACGGTCTGGGTCTTTCAGATTTTCGATCAATATCACTCACCCATCATCCTTTCGTCCTTGGTTGTTACTTGTATCCCAGCAACACCCGACTCGATGTTCGTGTTGTTTGACGCGGCGGTACCGCAAGACTTTGACCATGGAACCCTCTTGCGAGGTGGCAGGCAAGCCTTTACCAACTGGTATGCTACAGAAATTTCCGTCATCTTATGGATTGCAATCATTAACACATGGCGCAAAAGCTGAATGCACGATGTTCGTTTCGTCGAAGCTAGTGAATCGTGAACCATAATGCCTCCCGCCGATGAGCAATCCGAACGAAGTCTGCTGAAATCTATCCTTCCTCCTACAGTCTGGCATAGCCCTTCCCATCGCTCCCGCAATTCCATGATGCTTGTTGACGGTCGGAGCTCAGCATAACCTAAATGGTATGGAAGGAGTCGACTTGGTTATGTTCACCCGGCAAGAGGCGTAATATGCTCTTTACTGTGAGAGGTTGCGGTTACTAGAAATTCGGATATCGAGGGTATTCGTGCCAAATCGCCATCACCTACAGCCTTGATCCGAGTGAGAGTCTCGGCAGGTGAGCGCGGCTTCTTCTGGAGAATGAACATTATACCCGGCCCATCATAGTAACTCCAGAACAAGGAGACGAAGCAAGGTCACGCCAGTGCCGATCTTCGTTCGCGTATGGAATCATGAGCAGGAGCGAGCCCTGGATGAGAAACGGACGGGACGGGGCGAAGCAGAAACCTGGTCAATCAAGGCGATGCCGTTCTCGTATTAACCCAGGCTGTTCTGCAGCCTCCCGCATGGACTATCCCCAGATCGAGCACGATTCCCCGACAAGACCCGCTTCGGAATTGAGGCTGATCGTGAGGCTTGCGTGAGCTTCCTTCTGCTTCCTTCTATTGATCACTCATATATAAACCTTCATGACCTCTCTCGTGTCGTTCATTGCCTGCCTTCCACTTTCAACTCGATCATCGTATGGAAGGGCTCAATTGAACGGTTAATATGGAGTTTCCTTATCGCCCAAAGAAATACGCCCTGAACGCACCCCCGCCAATCCCGCCTCGACCATCTCATTCGGAAGACAATCGTCCCCCACCATTGCCTCCTCGGATACCGCGAGATGATTCGCAAAACACCGTCCCGCGTTTAGAGGCACTGTATCCCCCGCCACCTCCATATGAGAGACAAGCCACCCCAGAACAGGTGGTCCCTTATCCCGCGTCCTATCATGCGGAACACCGACCGCAGCCTTTGCCTCAGGCACAAGGTCCTGCCGCGGGAGAGTCAATATCCCTCTACAGTACTCCACAGACTGGCTCCACACCTTCAATGTCTCGTCCTTGGTTTCCGCCACCCTCGTCCCAGGCGCCTTCCTCCAGAAACAACTACCACGCTCCGGGGCCATCGCAAGCTGAGGGATGGCCACGGACTCCCCAGTCCATCGGACGCAATATCCCACCTGCACCACCAGCCGCCTATAATTTCCGGCCGCAGGGATCAGATGGTGCACCCGCGCCACCGCCACTATCGTCGCGCCGCCCTTCCCAGCAACAAAGCTCTCCAGCAATACAACGCCATCAAGATGACGCATCGTCGACTCCAGTTGATTCCAACACCGTGCGCAGCTCCTGCCATGATCATGACCGCAGGGACCAGGCAGGCTCTGATGCCACTGTGTCGCGACCAAGCATGCAGTACAATCAGCCCGCAAAATTCGCCTTGAAGAAGTGTCCGTCAACAAATTATACCTTGATGTGCTCCGGTACATGGTATATCTTGACTGAAACCCCAGAGTTCCGCATTTGCACGTATTGTTATGAGAAGAATATTCAGGGTTCGCCGTTGCAAACAAGCTTCCACCCTTGGGTCTCGCCCGCCGGTGCTGGCATACATTGCCTTTTCAGCTCACCTCGGATTCAAAATTATTTGTGGCCCCGAGCCTTGCAATCAGGCAATGTTCAGGAGCTGTTGTGGTTCTTTCGTCATCGCACCACAATCAGGGACTGTGATGGGACAAAAGGCGTTGGAGGGTCGGAGAACGTGAAGTGGTACAGCCCTAAAGACACCAGCAGACTTCCATCTTTCATTGTATGTGAGGCTTGTTATGAGGATGTAGTTGCGGGCACACCTTTGCAGGGTCAGTTCGAGGAGCACCGAGAAAAACAGCCACATGAACAGATATGGGCGTGTGACATCGCTATTAATTTTATTCGAAGATTACTCACCAACACACAATCATGGCCGCAGTTTTCTGTAGAAGCCGCACGTCACCTGAGCCTTCCGGAATGCGATAAAAACGGGAGCGTAATGACTGGCTCCTCACGGCAGTGGTATGAGCTTCGGGATCGAGCCCTGGGAATAGCTGTCTGCGAGCGCTGCTACCGCGACTTTGCGAGTGGGACCCATTTTGAATCCCACTTCCAACCTATGAAGCAGCTGCCAAGACAACAGCAATGCATCCTTGGGTTCTGGCAAGCCCAGGTCGTTTGGGATGAGGCGATTGAGCGGAAGGACTTTTCGCTATGGCGGCGCACAATCATAGAATATGTCCAAACTCCTGCTTGCAGCTCGCAGGCACAACCCGGTGCGCAGACGTATCAACTTAATCAAGGCATCGACAACTTCGATGTCTGCCAGAGCTGCTACGTAGGTCTGCTAAAGCCACTGGGGTTGGATTTGTTCTTCAAGAGAGTTCAACACCCTAGGACAGAGCAGAGTTCCTGTGATTTGAATCCTGCCAGCCTCCGGTTTTTAAGTTATGCGCTCAGACTGGATGAGGCGTTGATCACTTACACATTTTCTAGATTTGTAGATTTTGCCAGAAGGTTATGTAACCTCCCCCTCTGTCCAGGGATTGAATTGGTGACGAATCAGAGATGGTATGGCACGGATGACTGTCGGATCTGTCTCGCATGCTACGAGGAGGTCGTGCGTGGCAGCGAACTCGCCCAAGAGCTCCCTCTGACACCCAAAATAATCCCAGGTGAGAGTCACTGTGACTTATACTCGCCACGAATGCGCCGCAAGTGGGCCGAGGCATGTGGCAAGCGGGATTTGGCCTCGTTTATGGCATTTGCCGCGTATCGCCGGACCATCTATGAGCAAACAGTGCCAGAGATGCGGAATATTGTCTCGATGGCGCGATACAACCTCGACATGCAGAAGATGTACAACGTGTCTTCGTCCTTCTATTATAACATGGACGGGATCACAGCTTCCATGTATAATCCCTACATTAGCTATGGGGCTGCCGGGATCCCGCACAGATTTGAAACACCTTGGGGCGTCGAGGGAGCCCAACTGGGGCAGAAGGCTCAAGGATATACGCAGGGAATAACTGCCGACACGGCAAGAGTCGCACAATTAGAGGCGGCCTGGAAACTGGTTGAGTAAGAGGGCACTGAGCGCTCACGCTAAATCTCAGACCTTCTCATTGCGGGCACGTGGTCCCCTGAGAAGCAAGAGCCCGTCGCAGTTGTTGTCAACATTGTCTCGGGTAGGATCGATCTCGGTTTCGCCAGCATAAATGTTCCTGATATCTGACCAAGCGATCAATTGGCAGTCGCGCTTCGATTACGAGATAATCCTCGGGCGCTGATGGCAGGGCATTGTGAGGCGTTCGCTGTTTGACATAAAGTCAGTGCTGGGGTTATGACGAATGGAAAGAATACTCAGTAAAGGATTTTACGGTATCCACGTGGCCTCTTCAGCTTGGCTGTCGTATTGTAAAGATTTGATTGTGGTTTCCCAGATGCTTCATGAAATTCTTGTAGCTTTCAACTTGAAGTCGTTATTGGGATCCCGTTTTAATTAATGACCTGTCATAATATATATTATTTGGTAGTCCGCCTGCATACCCCTTGAATACATGAACGTCGCTTACCCGAGAAAATAGTATCTTGGGACTGCCCTTTCCTGTTTCTTTTGAGCTTTGTCCTTCCGGTGTTCTTTTTTTGGACGTTTTCTGAGGAATCGCAGTCGCGTTGATGTTTGTTGTGTGTATAGACCTGGTACTACTAGTACTGGGTGGGGGCAGCACGTGAGGGCTCCGAGTGGGCTTCTACTCACGAGTCACGAGTCACTCGCCATGCTACTGCTCGAACCCAATACAACACAGGATATCTTCTTCCTCACTTGTTTCCAACCATCCTCCATGCCGTCCATTCTATCATCACTATAAACTCTGCGTAATATAGAACAACGTTTAGAATACATTTTATGGCCGATGCACTGGAAAGTCCTCAAGAGTTGAGATTGCTTCTTCTACCGAGCAATCCCACATTACTCGTAGTTTCTAGGCAAGAACCATGTAGTATTCTGTCCAAGGGTTGCCGCCGCCCATCCGTGGGATAAGGCTGTGGTTGCCTTGCCATGTGCCTACGTCGCGTTACCCTCATTAATTCGTCATGATCGAAGGCAGCACAGTACAGACTTCTTGATCTCTCTTTTCTCTTTATTCCTTTCTCTTTAGACAGGGTGCAACTCTCCTCTCCTCTACTAGTACTTTGTTAACCAGCCATGGCGGCACAACGGCCTCTCTACTCGATTGGTACATTCCAATCAAGCTGCCTTAACACGGACACACAGATGAATGTGCATGTTTCTAACAAACGTTTCAAAATCGATATACTCACTGCGAATTTCAGAAGCTCTCCCGCATTACTCTCAGAATACCTTCGCCAGATCCGTCGTCAAGAACCAGAATTTGTTCCTGGCATGGATGATCTTGGGGGGGACCCCCTCGAGGAAATGCACGAATGGATATTGCAGCCATTTCTGCCCATTTTCCGCAAGCTTGCTCCGCTCGACCAAGGCCGGAAGTACACTCTTGAGGATTATCTGTATGCGGAAGAGTTTCACTACACGGTGGAAGTGGTGGAAGAGACCCTAGTGCCTGTTTACCTCGGTCACTCAAAGCGCACGAAGTTGCTGTTTTTTGGAGCATGTTTGCCCTCTATTACCTATTTTGATTATTCGATGTTCCCCGTCTACCATCCGAGCGAAATTCAGGTTTCGATCGATGCAGATTCGACTTCTTTGCCCGGGTTCCCCCAGAAGGTCTTTATCCACGGGCGATCAAAACCCAGCTTTCTCAAGATAATCTTTGCGGGTGGTGCGAGAGTGGCACTGAAAGAGCTTATGGCATATTCCAAGATTTATATAGCTAACTTCGACGCCACAGTTCTCACGTCTCGACTTGATGGCTTGGTCCACGATGACGAGGGAACCACTATAGGACTCCTTTTATCATACATTAACCGTCCTGGATTTACACTTGAATTCAATGGTGGACATCATCCCAAGTATTCTGAATCCCGGCAAAAATGGTTCAACCAGATTTCCCACACATTGCAACACCTTCATGCACATAATATTGTCTGGGGAGATGCAAAACCGGGCAATGTGCTCCTTGATCCCAATGGGGATGCCTATGTGGTTGACTTTGGAGGCGGGTATACTCCGGGTTGTGTTGAGAAGGAGATGGCTGGTACTATTGCTGGAGATCTTCAGGGACTTGAAAGTATCAGGCGGTACCTCTTCGAATGAATTTCGGAGGGACTTGCTTTCCAAATTGATATTGGCAGTGTTGTTTGCCCGCCACAAATGGGTGCGCGAGAAAGAATCGTTAAGACTGTGATATCCGGCTTTTACTTGTGATTCTTGGGAGTGGTATTAGCTTTTGGCCCATTATCGATAGGAGAATATTATGCTCAAGTCTACTTAGTACTCCATTGCTGTCGACCGCGATACTGTAGATATATTCACATAGTCCGTCAGTGTCGGTTGGGCTCGGGAGTCGTTCCGTAAAGCTCGGGGCGAAAATCCGAGAGAACGATTATTAGTCGCTCAACCTAACATGACTCAATTCAATGGCCGGCTTTTAGCAAACCGGCCGAGAAAAACGGCCGTGGAATTCTATGCGCGGTATAAAGTCACGCCCCAATGACCTTTTACATCTTTCCGTGTAATTCAATTTTACCATTCCCCAAGAATTGCATGATGGCATCAGTGAAACCACAAATCGGATGGGTAAGAAACTCATGAAAATGCACTGAGACCTGGTCAATGGCTAACCTGTCCAAGTACGGGCTCGGGTCTATGGGCCGTCCCATGGCCGAGAATCTACAACAACATCTAGCGAAGAGTCACGAACGCCCATTGATATACTCCAATCGAACACTAAGTTCCGGAGATACGCTAAAGTCTCTCGGCGCCGTGCCTGCTGCCGAGTTTACAGACTTGGTGAAACGATGTGACATCGTTTTTACAATGGTGAATAGCTTCCCAGCAAGAGGGTGTAGGTCAGAAACTGACAAGTGCTAGATACCGAACGACGACGTCCTTCAACGGCTCATGAAGCTTGCCATTGCGGGCGGCTCGGAGCTGTCAAACAAGATCTTCGTCGACTGCTCGACAGTACATCCGGACACTATTAAGAAACTATCGACAGACTTAGCAAAACATGAGACTGTCCTTCTTTCTGCTCCCGTTTTCGGGGGCCCGTCAGTTGCAGTGGCTGGAGGTCTTGTATTTGCAATCAGCGGCCGCGAGTCTGCCTGCCTCACTGTGGAGAAGTATATCACCAATGTGATGGGAAGGAAGCTTATCCATTGTGGGGAAAATGCATCGAACGCATCGTTGCTCAAGATTGGCGGGTAGGTCTCTGCACTCAATGATTGCCCCCCTGCTGGAGCTCCAAAGCTGACTAGATAGGAATATTATAACCCTCTCGCTGATGGAAGCAGTGGGAGAAGCTCAGGTCTTTGCAGAAAAAACTGGGCTTGGGACCGACGCAATGGAGCAGTTAATCACGGAGTCGTTTGGAGCCGTTGCAGGGGGTTACTCTAAACGGTGAGTCATGCACTATCGTTCATTCCTTTGGTGGCTACTCAAGCTAACTTTTGATCAGATTAACATCGGGAATATATGCACCGCCACTCGATACACGACCGGGATTTGGCATTTCATTGGCTATCAAAGATGCCAAACATGCACTTTCAATGGCCGGAGAGCACGACTTCAAGCTACCCGGACTTGAGTTGGCTGATAAGCACATGAAAGCAGCAAGAGAGTATGGAGGCGAATGCTTGGATAGCAGTGCCATGTATGGCATCTTGCGACAGCAGGCTAGTCTGAGCTTTTGGAATGAAAACAGTCGCCAGGGCGGGAAATATGGAGCAACTAATGATACCAAAGATCAGAGAGGTGCTGCATAGTCAAATACTCGACCTCCTATCATAACGCCAGAATTCCGCTATTATGATATGGTTACACTTTTGTGTCTTCCCAAAGTCTTCTGATACCATGTCTTGCAACGCATTTCATGAACTCGCCGTTCGTAGTCTCTGCTACTGAGACTCCACAGGGAAGTCACCGACTTTCTCCTCTCAGTTCCGCTAGTGTCTGTCGTGTACACATCAGTTCAATTTCCACTGCACCTTCCATTTCCAGTGATGGAGCTCGATGTCCCGAGTGTGCCTGCCCTAGCATACAAGTGTGATTGGCGACTAATATCGCAGCGAGATGAACAGTACAGGAACTATCTTCCAAAACACAAAACAATATACGAAGCATATTCACTGCCTCCATCATCATTATAGTCTAATGAATACACACCCACTTCAAGTCTGACAATAAACTCCCGAAATACTCAAATCCGAATGTCGTTCCGTGTCCCCAACTCTGCGGCCACCGAGTTCTTCAGACCGGAATTGACTACTGTCGACATGCGACGATTAATCCTCTAAGCGGCCGACGGCTCATGTGTGAAGAGCTGAGAACTGCTGATGACGTGTTGGTGGATAAATTGTGTACGGGCTGTGAGAGACGCTCCATTCAACTTCTCTTGCCTCTTAGCTTCCTGCGGTAACCGAGCAATTCTCAACCGGCAAAAATACCTAGTCAGTATGACTATCACTATGGACACCAAAGTACGGACGTCTTTGCCAAAAACATGTTCTGTTTCTCCATATCTACTTCCTTTCTCTGGATTATAGGTTGTGAAGTAGCTGACGGTAAACAACTTCTAGTAGTATTCGGGCCAAATTGATCAGTCGTCGGTGAATGATTGGATGGTCAGCATCCGCGTTGAAACAATGTACTAAGTGGCGTCTGTAATAGACCGCACACCTCTTGTCTGTAGAGAGCAGGCATTATTATTACTATTTTCATTTTATCAGTCAATATCATGTTCAAGAAATATTATCAGTACTCGTGAAGCTGAAACTCGTTCCTGGTACGGAGAATGTGTCTATTTCCGCTGGAAATATAATGAAGCCAGAATACCACAGGCCGAGGAGAAAATCGCTGCGATATCCAAAGGGTTAACGCAACGATACGCATGGCCAGCTTTGAGGACGGGGATTTACCGAGGAAGAAGTTCATATAGTAATAGCCTACTATTTGGGTAAGAGAGCTTGTAAGAATAGGTCCGAGGAACATAGTGGACGTCCAGGCCATGTTAGTCAGAGAATAGGCTCTGGACATCCCACCATTGGGACCGAAGATAGCGGGTTGTGTTCTTTGTAGTTCTGCAACAACGCCTGAATTGGACGAAGTTAGTAATTCAACATACGAAATAAGAATAGAACCACAGATCAAAACATACTAGTCATTTCAATCACTCCACATCCGGTGAGTAGAGGTCGTGCAAAGCCCAAACCAAGCATAGAAGCCATGTAAACTGCCTGTCCCCTCTCGCCGGAGCCTATAAATGGTAGACCGTCAGGACCACAGGTGCCTAGAACCCAAAGTAAGAAAGCAGTAGCCAGAAATCCTAAACAAGTCGGACCGCTGGTTCCTATCCGATCCTTCATCCAGCCAGCGAAAGGGGAAAGCAATATTGCCGGCAGCTGCAGCTCCATAAACATCATGCTTGTCCGGGAGGAGTCCCAGCCAAAGGCTCGCGTCACATAGAGGGGCAAGGTAGTATCAAAGCTAACGAGAATAAGGGCATTGAATGCATGGCACGCCAAGGCAGTTAGAGCGCGAGGGTTGCTGAGAATAACCTTATAGAAGCTTTGGGTTGAGGATTCGGTCGTTCCGGATAAACACGAGGCAGGGTCGCCTTCCTGCCACGGTGTGTCTTCTTGTCTGCAGGGACCCGGTAAATGCCCAGGAAGTAGGTCAGAGGTCTCATCTGATATACTGGGATCGGATGTTGTGTCCGTAACATCTGTTGTTAGCCTAAGTGGACTTTCGATCATGACAAGCCGCATCATCATATCAAAAACGAGAAGAGCGATCGCCGTGAGCCAGGTCGGCCAGTATCCAACAAGCTTTATTAGTATTCCTGAGGTCGCCGGACCCACCACCAATCCAGACATGAAGAACATGGACGTCGTGGTAAATACACGGGATCTCTGTTCGTCCTCAACGAGGTCGGCCACGGTTGCAAATCCAATAATCCATGCTGCGTTACCAGCAATGCCCTGGATTATGCGCCCAAGGAAGAGCACCGGCACTATGACAGGAAGCGTACGAATTAGGTTTTCAGTGCGTATGGAGAGGAGTCAAAATGGCATACGTGATGTGGCAGCGGCGACGACAATCGTGCCCACGATCTCTCCGCCTAGAGAGACCAGCAGAGGTCCCTTTCGTGATGGAACAGAATCTGCCCAGGCCGCGATGATGGGTCCGGAAAAAAAGCAGACCAACGCATGGGCTGAAAAAACGGCTGAAGTGTATGTTTGTGTCAGGCTTGGATCGAGGTGAAGACGATCTTCAAGGATGTGTTGCAAGATGGGGACGATGAAGCTGTAGAGAAAGTTTTCTTGAAGGCGTCAACATATTACTGTGAGTCAGTCAGAACTCTGATACGCACCTGAGAAGAGAGCTAATGTGACACAAGATAGGATGAAAAAGTTCGATGAGCGCCATCGATAACCCGGAGGTTTTCCCCCGTTCAATAGCATTGTCGCGGAACGATGCGATCAAGGACAAACCGGTCCTGTTTTTGGCATTCCCACACCAAGTTAGAGATGAGGACAAAATGAAAACGAAAAGAAAGGCCAGTGGGGCTTGACTTAAAGTACAAGATAGGGGCAAGGGCGATCACACATGGGCAAGCAAAAAAGGGCTGGGTGGAGCACAAAAGTGGTTCAGGAAGCTGTCGAGGGAGAAACAAATGCGAAGCTGATTTCCTATGGCCTTGGCAAAATCCAAATAGAGGACGAGGGAATGTTCTTGGCCAGCTGTGGACTGGTAGCTGGGTGCCATACTGCAAGGGCGCGTAACCGACTTGATACGTCTGGCTTCTCGGAACTGTGGCTCAGCTGAGAAATGCACGATCATCGCGAACTCTCGACCCACTCCCGGCGATTTGGAATTAGCCTGACCCACCCCGGCAAAGAATGGGGAGACAGACACAAGAAAGAGTGTAGATCACTCTCAAGAAAGGCGATAATAACTAAGGAGTAGACGTGTGTGGGCAGTAGCTCAGCGAATAAATGGGTCCCAGTGCCTCCCCACAGATCGGGTTGCGCCTCTCAGAATACAATTCAGCTGCGCGCCAGACTAGTCAAGTGGATACTAGCTAGATCTTGGCCGAGATCTTCCAGTCTAAACACGGGCAAGAGTGGTCATTTTCAGTGTCAATTTCACAGATCCTAGTTCTATTCCTGTAAGCTCACCCAACCCCATTGAATCTCCTACTTCGATATACATCTCGTCCAAAGACCAATTTTCTATACCGATGTTCATACCGACAGAAATTGATCCCACGAGCTCTCTACTGCTTTTCGATCACGAGAGGGCTATACCCAAGCCAGGTCACTGCCTGCATTTCCTCGTCATCTTCCATGTCAACCTCTCTTTGTGGGTCCTCAATCTCATCGATTGTAACTCCGATCGTCTTCTCATCCCGCACCATTTGTTGGGCTTGTGCTTTCTCCCCTTCTTCGCCGACAAAGATTGACTGCCGATCCTGTCCTTGTAGGGCCTGCCGCATGCCCGGTCCCCTGCGAGGCAGCTGAATGGCCGGAATCTTGCCACTGGCGTAGTACTTTCTAACACGGTTCGCTCCCTGAATGAACAGGAGTGCTATTTCTGTCCCCTTCTTGGCGAGACTGTGTTTGGTTAACATTGCCTGTGGATCGTCGAGATATTCTGCGAGATAGCCCAACCCCAGGGAGAGTACCGTGCCAGCAACAGGCAGCATGCTGGCCTTGGGAGTGAGGATAGCTAGCAGGATCTGCGTAATACTGCTCTCCGGTATCCCAGTGGCTTTGTAGTCCAAAGGGATGCCACCATGCCTGCTCACCAGTCCGGCATAATCGATCGCAACCCATGCATCCATCACCTTCAGAGTGATTGTCGCGACCCCCGTATTGTCAATCGCGGTGGCATGGAAGAGCTTGACATATCGGTATGGATTGATGTAAATTCGCTTGCGAAAGTGCATGGGGACAATCAGCATCTCGATGAGAGCGCGAGCATCAATGCGCATCGTCCACTCTGGCCGCCAACCCCAACCATGGGTCTGATCGGCCTTGATACTCAAGTTCCCCGCCCAGTAAGTTCGGGGGGCGCCTTCCTTCTGCTGAATCTTGTCTCGCTCCGCCTCGGTCAAGTTGGGTTCCGGTACAGGTTTCTCTGTGCCTGGGACATACTGGCCGTCAACCACATTCTGCGCCACCCCCCCTACCTCCTCGCCTAGAGTCTGCCCGATGGTTTGGCTGGTTGGTCCCAAAACCCCGCCCAACGTCTTGCCCACCGTGGACGAGACCTTTTCAATTGGAACATGATGAGGCCTGTATGTCTGCAAGGACACATCATATATGCGGAGGTTGAGGTGGACGTAGGCCGCGAATCTGGGTACTCTTTGGTCCGCTATACGGGCTACTGGCAGGTAGACAGCGCGGACTGGGAATGTCAGATCGACCCAGAGAAATCGCTCGTCCTTGGTGGGCATTGGGACAGGGAGGAAGCAAACTTTGAATTTCTTTGTGCGTCTCTCGAACTCGAATGCGTCCCCTGTTGCATCCCAAATAATCTGTCGCCGCATTGATTTGGCGTCCGGTCCCACCATGCAATTCAGACGCTGCCATCGGACCTATTTGGTGCCATCATATGAAACAGACTGTTTGCCAGCCCGGGGATGAGACTCATATGGCAACAAGGGATCATCATTCCCCTTGTACGCCTCGTCATAAGAACGATTGGTAACCACTTCGAGCAGGGCAAATTTTTCAAATTGCTCCTCGTCGTCAAGATTGGCAACGTCGTTCTTGAGCACACTTCGATCAAACCAAACGATGCCTTCAGGGGGAGGAAGAGCCATGGCTGCCTGAGACAGGATCAATTTAATAACGTGCTTAGCAGGCTTGTTCGAGGGTGATTGCTTTGGTGTGGCTAGATGTCGAAGCCATTGGAAGCACTTAAATATGTCCTCTTCGCCTTCAATCTCGCTAATTATGGTAATATTCTGGTACGGAGAGAAGAAAGAGGGGAGGTCGTGTGATTAGAAGTACCATATGCAACCCACGTTACATCGCATTCCAAGAGGGGAGTACATTCAATATGATCTACAATGGGATTTCAGCCAGCCACCAAACCGATGCGGGTCGATCACGTTACCATATACGGATGATTCGAGATGCTGCAATCCAGGGACTAATTGGAACAACGCCTTTTGACCAACTCTATACTTCCTGGAAAATCTTAGTGCACGTCCTCGTCAACCAGGTTCTCCCTATCTGCAGTATGCCCAGAGGAAAGGATTCTGAAAACATTCACATTTCACCCCTGTCATCCTGTTGCATAGCATAGATTATGGCGTCTAGCACAGAACTATCCAGGTCATCAGACCTGGGGGCTCCGTGGGTATCCTGCCTTGTGGCTTGGTTTCAATGAGGGATTTAGGAATCTGGAAGAACTCTAAATGCGAGTCAAACTTCTAGGTGGGTGGGGTGAGGCGTGCATCTTGTTCTCGATCATCGGAACCACGCCATAGCATGGTATAATTCTATTCTCTCCCGGTAAAATGGAAACCGTCAACAAGCGAATGACGAGAACATTCCTCCTGGATGCGTTTGAATTACCGCACGAATGGGGAACTGACATATTATGGGGCTTGGGTGGAAGGAAACGGTGAAAGCTCCCCGGTTCTGCTGATTTAATCCATGGTTTGTCTCCCAGAATGACTGTGCTCAACCTAACACTCCAGGACTCGAAGTAAGTACTAGTATGTATAATGCGAGAAGCGGTCCATGCTTCGGGTGAATACGGCGCGGGCCGCAATTAGCTTCATAATTGCGGCCTCATGACGCCTTACAGCAACGGATCGGCAGTGGAAAGTATTTCAGCGTATTGGCACCCTGATAACCCCCATTGATTGGGCACGGGAGTACCTACGCCCTGGGCTGCAGGATTGACCAACATACAGCATTCAACCCCTAATTGGCCATTTTACTCAACTTCGTGCATTGTTCAGAAGTGGTGTCAGATGCGGGATTTGCCAAGGTGGTCTATGAGACATATCATATGCGAGCTTTGCTTTCCAGTTCATCATACAGCCCTGTCCATGTAGCCTCTCGCGTTGGGCCTTTAACTAAACTTTCAGCTAAGGGAGAAGGCGTAACATTCGGAATTCTCTTTCGGGCCAGATGTAGCTGCTTGTAGACATAATGAGAGCCTTAACACTGTTTAATCCCCCACGAGCTGTTCACCAGGCTCTGACTGGTAGTCTGCCACGTCTCTGCAAGGCTACGTATGGCATAACATATTGCTCGTGTCTGCCCGCTCACCCAAAGATTCATGTTGGAGTCTTGGCAGTGGGACTAAATCAGAACGATCATCGCTGGTGGTGAAAGCCATTTCGCCGGAGATGGTATGATGAAATACAGCTCACTGTTCTTCAATGGTGTTACATCCGGCATGGAAGCCTGGCCTTCATCCCGTATCAGCGGCGCGTGGCCATTACTATACTTGGCGCAGACCGGGTATTCAGAAAGCAGACGTGCCTATGGAACTCCGGAGATGGCTAGCTTTGTAGCGACACGACATATCCCATCATCCAGTTGGAGGTGCAGAGTTACAGATTGGAACGAAGCCGTAAATGGCTGCCATAATTGCCGTGTTCATCGTCAATGTCATAGGTCCTCACGTTATATGTGTAAAGTAGCTAAACGTTCATGGTATTGGCCACGTCCTTTCCTCCACCACATGAGGGTTATTTGCAACATCTGACCGACTCTCAATCGCTGTGTGTACCTCGATTCCCTGCAGCTCAATCTCCGAGCTCCCGCGACGGCTAGACTGCGTTGTCACTTCCCGGCTCTGGCTGGCCGTCCCCCCGTGTGGGTCGCTGATCTTGTGGAATCCATCGTGATTGTGCGTACCGCTTGTGTGGAAATATAATTTTGTGCCCGAATTAGACTGGCCTTTCGAGATGCTCTTGACGGTGCCGAGAAATCCGGCCAGGAGGGGTTTGAGGAGAGGGAGACAACCGCAGATAATGGCGACATCGAGTTCGAGCACCGTCCAGATCGACTCTTTGGCACTGGATGCTGCATTGGAAGTGGATTGATCAGTTCTGCTTTTACTTCATTTTGTTTCCTTTTCCCGGGGGTGGCTGGAGACTTACAAGCAAGGTCCGTGACAACAAAGTTGCGGAATTCAATAAGCCGCATCAGACTGAAAATACAGACCCTGCGCTAATCAGCCTCCAGTCACTGATGTTGTGCTGGATTGTAATATGGAAAACATACAGGCCTCCCAGCGAAAATACAATGGTCACTGCGATCTTTTGGCGCAGGGTGATCTTGAGTCGCCAGATGATCGGTACTGGCATAAGTAAAATCGTCACGTCCTCCACTAGGGCGATGCTTCCCATGGCTTGAAAGAATTTGGTCTGTCCGTGCATACAATGACCTCCTTGCAATGTTTTGTCGTAGTAGAATTGGACCGGATTGCACTGGAAGATGTTGACGAGCAATGCCACGGTGGCCCACAGAGCGATGAAGACGATGAGGCAATTGGAGAAGATACGAAAAGCAGGAACCGTGCCGAGGATGCGTTGGAGGAAAACAATGATTGAGATCTTGACGAACGCCATAGACGGCGCCCAGAATTTCTGAATCATCCATGAGCCCTAGTGGTGCGTTAGCTTGCGTCGCTGTGAGCGATGTCGCACGGGACAATAAGGGGTTATCACAAATTGAATGCGATGCCGCTCATCTGGGGGCAGAAGACTCGTTCGGACGCCCACCCCATTGAATGCCGCTGTTGACGAGTTGTGAGCAATAACTTCGAATATCTCCTCGAGATAGGAACTTACTATATACAACAAAGGCAGTGGCGCAGTAAGAAAGAATCAAGCCGATCCCCATTAAGAAATCCTCCAACCTCAGCCCTACTGTGGAGATGCGACAGGATACCAGCCGGAGAATATAAGTCAGGGTCGCGATGGCCGCACCCACGATGGGGACGACTGTGAGGACGTTTTTCCAGTATGTGTTTTCGATGGCCATCCTCGGGCACAGCTGGGAATGACCGCAAGGTCAACCTGAGAAGGGAAAATCCTGATGATCGGCGGTGTGCTACGATGGATCCTCTGAACCAGAGGAGCAGTCACTGAAACGTTTCAACAATCAGGTCTCTGGCTCAAAGGGATACCAGCCCGACATCCTGAAGCCAAGTGAGCCACTTGGAATGACAATCTTGGGGTGTGGTGTTGGATCTATAAGACTATTCCTTTTAATTTCTTCACCCCTCATCGAGAGGTTTGTCTCAAACCCTCGTTATTGAGTGGATGCCAAGTCCCTCAGACTTTGAACCTAAGACTAATGGCGTAAATTGGCCTCATTTCCATGGTACTTTAGCTTGGAATTCCGGCGCTGCGTCAACCGTGTTGTCCTTGACGGGCCTCCGGCAATCAACAAGTATTTCAATCCAACTGTACCGGATTTACCTGCTCTTTGAATCTTATCTGTTGTTTTATGTTAGAACTTAAAAATGGACAGCGTTGATCTGCCCTGAAAATGGCAGGGATCGGTTTCCAATCCACATTCCTCGTGGGTTGTCCGATCAGTGTGCCCCGAGGGAGCCCTAATTCGATCGTATGCTCTACGGGTTTTCTACCAAGCCACGCCGCACGGCAGACGGCATAGGGATTTATGAACTGTTTCAGATATTAACCGATAGAGTTCAATAGTTGGCGCAGGTGAGACACAAAAACCCATTGCCAGTGGGAACGCCTAATATGTTTTATATTGAGCCACGCGGCGAGAGGCCAGAAGAAATTCTTCGATGCAGTGTGGATCCACATTTTAGGATTTTCCTTCTTTTGGGCCTCTGTTCCTCTACCATTTTTCGCCCGTTCTTATTCCTATTAAGCTTGACTACCCTGCAGCCTGTGGTTAATTACAGAGCCTGGGCTAGGGGATGGCTCCACTCGGCGGGCCAGCACCTTTCGTTGTGATTGGATTCTCGTCACTTAAATTCCCGAAGAGAGACCGAAGCCCTAAGCAATTCAACACTGCTTAAGCTTGACCTCTACCACTAAAAGCTTAGTATGTATCCCTGATTCCCTTGGCTTATGTGCCATGGTTGGCTGGACGGACGTTCTCCGTGCTCCATACGGTTCCTACCCACCATCATACGAGAAAGCCTGTCGGATTAGACTACCCAACAAGGGATAGAGAGAGAATTCTGGGCGAAAGTGCAAAATGTGATCGGAAACAGCAGATTTCCGATCGCTGTCCTGAAACTAGTTTCCCAACAACCCGGCACTTCTGCAAGGGGTTGCCGCGGTGCCGGATTTTGAATAAAAAGCGAACACGATTCCTGTCTTGCTGATTACTTTCCTAGAACGGATACGATCTTCGCGGCCGGTTTAACATATCCACTGGTGTTTTCCCCTGTGCATGATCTCATCATCGTGTGGCAAGATGGCGCCTTCCACGTTCAAGAACTCTATTGTGCCACTGGCCGTTCACCTCTTGGGCGTTTCAGCCGGAACCTGTGACCTCGACAGCTTCAATGCCACCGTCGGCGGCCGTGTCCAGCCCTTGACACCCTTCTCCTTGCCCTGTTTCTCGAGCTATAATGGCACCGAAGTGGCGGTTAACGACGCGGCATGTGCGACTATCCAGAGCAACTACAGCGATCCGTACTTGCGAGCCAACTCCGCCAATGGATACATGAACAATCAGGTGGAGATGTGTGCCTCGGACCCGAGCGACCAGTGCTTGCTCGACAGCTCTGATCCGACCGATCCGTTGGCCTTTACCAACACAGTTTGCAATCAAGGTAACCTGCCCTCGTATTATCTCGAGGTGCAGCAGGCTAGCGATGCTGTGGAGGCTTTCAAGTTCGCCAGCTGCTCTGGAACCCGTCTATCGATCAAGAATAGTGGTCATGATTACCTGGGTCGTAGCAGTGGAAAGGGAACTCTCTCACTCTGGACACGCAACTTGCAGTCGAAGACTTACCACTCCAACTTCAAGCCCGAGGGCTGTAATGCTTGCGCCGCACCAGGAACCGCCGTCCCAGCTATCAGTATCGGGGCCGGTGTCAACTTCAACGAGGTCTATGCATTTGCCAACTCGCACAACGTCACATTTCTGGGTGGCTATGCGCCAACGGTGGGCGCCAGCGGTGGTTTCCTGCAAACCGCTGGTCATAGTATTCTGTCTCCTGTTTACGGTTTGGCCATCGACCGAGTAATCCAATTCAAGATGGTGACACCAGATGGCCAGTACCGCATCGCCAACGAATGCCAGAACCAGGATCTTTTCTGGGCTCTCCGTGGCGGCGGTGGTGGTACCTTCGGCGTTGTAATCGAGAGCACCCACCGGGTTGAACCTCAATTGAGCTTCGTTGCTGCCGTTATCAAATTCACCTCAAACTCTACCAATCTGTTGCCCTTCATGGATATCGTTGTCAACAACACCCTGAAGTGGGCCTCAGAAGGCTGGGGCGGTCACATCAGTGGAAGTAGCCTCATCAACGTGACTCCGTTGCTCTCTGTGGCCCAGGCAGAGGAGTCCCTCGCCGATGTGATTGCCTACGCGAAATCACAGGGCGGCTCTGCTACCGTTGAACAGTTCTCGTCCTGGTACGCCTTCTATGAAAAGTACGTCACTTCTAACGCGGTTAGCGTCGGAGTCACCCATTTTGCAGGCAGTCGTCTGGTGCCCAAGGCTGTCTTCGAAACTGCCGAGGGGCGCAAGAACCTGATGGACTTCTTCTCTCTCATCCAGTCCAAGGGACAAAGCCCCTACATCCCCATCGTCGGCCCGGTACTCTACAACTACGCGGCGAACTCCACCTCCGCGACTCCCGCCTGGCGTTCTGCCGTTTGGGAACTGGGGTCCGGTACTGCCTGGGCCTGGAATAGCACCCTGGAGACGCGCGAGCAGAAAATTGCCAGTCTGCAGAACATGACGGCAACTCTTGAGGAGATCACCCCAGGCAGCGGTGCCTACAGCTGCGAGGCCAACCCATTCACCGAAGATTGGCAGGAAGCGTGGTGGGGCGAGAACTACGAGCCCTTGTTGACTATCAAGAACAAGTACGATCCCAACCGGTTGCTGAACTGCTGGAAATGTATCGGATGGGAGGAATCTGATGCAAAGAGCTCCTGTTTCTCGGCCTTTAGCTAGAGGAGTCAGACCTTCTGTATATAGTGGTCGTTTCTCTGTGAATATGACGCATGAATGTAACATATATGTATACAGCTCAGAACAGGACCTGGCTTGGTGCACTGTTTAGGTTTAAACATAGTTAATCAACCCGATCTGCATACCAACAGCCCAGTATAGTAATGCTTGGTCCATCAATCACAATGTTGAATAAGGCATCATCATTTCGACTTCAGGACAGTAGTCATGAAGTGTGAAAAGGTAGTGGTAGAAATTTGAAGCTTGCAGGGATGTGCTCATTTATTCCAGTGCAAGTACCACCTAAAAAGGTTCTTCATTTCCTATGAAACAATATTGAGTAATCATATCCCCGCATATTTACCCAAGGATGGCTATTTACATCGTGCCATTAAGTCACACCTTCGTGCTCAGTTTCGTGTGATCTCTAGCTTTTTCAAAGCAAGTTGGCTGAAACAGCAATAGTTCATACCCCAAATGATGGGCTTCATTGTTTCGAACTACTTATGTGTCGCAGGAAATCAAATCCGAGACCGCTCAAGCATTTGACAGCCTAGTTGCCATTTGGCACCCTATGAGGCTGATTTGCGAAACCCAAGCAGATGCGTTCATCTCTCCTTTCCTGGATGTTTACATCCTTTGGTCAGCATCCGGCATTGAGATCTTTCATAGTAACGCTACGCCTCATTTCTTAACGTCATCATCGGTCCCAAGTACAAGTAAAGAGGTCAGGAAGCTTGGTTTTGCATAAGTTGTAAGGTAAATTGAAAGCTCTCGAACGACCAGTGTCGCCATGGAGTGAGGCTCGAAGGAAGCACCTTTCTGTATTATCAGGAGATTTCATGGTTTGTTTTAGTTAGGTAGGACGACATCCCGCAGAGGCATGATTTCTCTAAAACTCGTCCACACTGTATAGCAGCAACCATTGTGCTGTCGATTTCCGTAATACTATTCCTTGCAACACAGCAAGGCGCTCAGGGGCTGCTACAAAGAACTTGTGTCTGAACCCAGTTTGAGCTCATTCATGAATCGGGCATCTCGTCTCAATATTATCGACTGACCTAATGGAAATGTTTCAGCTAGAATCCTTTCCAGGCTTCGCTTTACTACACGTTCCGCAACATATAAGACGCCCTCATCACCATTCAAATCCACAATTTGGCTACCCAGTACACCTGCTAATCACAGCCTACTGCAAGTAATTGAACAACGATGGACTTCCCAGACGCCAAGCCTGCTGTCTTTGTCCTCATCGTCAACGAGGAAAAACAAATTTTACTTGGGCGAAGAAAGGTCGGCCCTCAAGAAGGTATATGTACCTTTGGCCTTTTTGCTGCCGTCCCAATGCGCTACACAGTATTTTCTATTCCCTTAACGACAGATATACTGATACCGGTCAGGCACCTTGTCCCCTCCCCTAGGCCCTTTCGCCCCCACCGAACTCAGGGTGTCTAATATAAAAAGTGTGGTTTCGAAGGAGACCGGTCTGGGCTTCAACTACACTTCCTTTGTACTGGTAGTTCACCTTTCGAGTGAGCTCCCGCAGAGCAAGGACTATTTTCCTACGTGGGTAGGGGTCAAACTCCATCATGCGATTGGTCAGAAGGAGCCCATGGTACGACATACACCTAACAGATGGCTTGTCATTTTGTCCTATTTTTTCACGGAAAGATATATTCCTATTCTTTGTGGGTGCTGACAGCGCGATGGCAGACTCCTGAAAGCAGTGCATACGAAAGTTGGAAATGGGTAAGCAAGGACGAGCTTGAGAGGTTGTACGAAGAATATAAGGCTGCTGAGGAAGACGGGAAGATAGACGATTTCAAGGGAGAGATATTATGCCTCACCTTGCGAGTACTGCTAAAGAATCAAGGTCGTGGCACCCACAGTATCAACCACTTGTTTGATATTCCTTCTGCCTACCCCTCGTTGGATTCCTCAGGCCTGTATTAAACATCTAGCGTGAACATAGCATCTAGATCAACTTCTCTAGTCCCGGCGTCTCGCCAATTCTAAAAACGTACTTAACCGCACTCGCTTTTCCATCCTTCAAGTCCTTCATCGCCCCCTCAACCCCCAACAAGCCACCTTCTCTGATTTCAAATGGATGACTCTCCAACTCACCCGTCTGCAGTGCCCTCGTGAACCACCGACAGAACACGAAGCACAGATCACGGCAATCGTCAATACCACCGATCTGGTGGGCTGAACTGACCCAAGTGTTCGACGCAACCGCGGGAGAAACATCGGGGGGGCTCATGAGTACATAATTAATGTTGCCACCAGGGTTCATGACAGAACGCAGCACAGTAGTACTATCCTCCGTAACAATTGTGTCTAGGGCATGATTTGCCGGGAGATCGTTGGCACCAGTGGATGAGCGCAGAGCATGGCGAATGCCAGCGACGGTTTTCTCGGGGCCGTCCCGATAATCCACAACTACGTCGCCCTTACTTTCATCCAGGAACTTCCGGATGTAATGGGCGCCCTTTCCGGCGATCGCAATAATCGGGTGGATGTTGCTGAGTCTGGCGAACTTGATCGCGTAGGACCCGACTGCCGTGCTTGCACCGTAGACAATAAACGGCGTCGTGGCGCTGGGGGATTTACCTTTCGCTGCTGGGGACCAGGGGAATTGAAATCCGAGGTGATGGTAGAGAGATACAACTGCCGTGAGACCGGCTAGGGGGATGGTTGCGGCCTCTGTTGGGAATTAACATACTACAATCACGACAAGATGGAAAGAGAGCACAACAGGGGTTTGATATACCTTCGAATGAAATCTTCTCTGGTAAATGGAACGTGGTATGGCTCCATGCAACCGCATACTCGGCATAACTGCCTCCAGGCGCTAGCATTTCGTGAAAAGCTCCGACTCGATCACCGGGCTGCAGAAGGCAACAAGACATCTATTAATTCCGAACAATCACCAGTCTTGGGATTAAAGGGACAGAACTCACCCGAAATTCGACCACGTTTGTTCCCACCTTTTCGACCACACCAGCTATATCATCGCCTTGATTTACTCCCTCTCGGACTTTCTCGTAGCGCTCAAAAAACGGTTGCTCCTCGCTGTGCGCAAGATCCGGCACTTTCCAATCCTTGGGGTTCGATCCGGAGACGACGACACGGATCAGGACCTGGTCGTCATTAATCTCGGGGACCGCCGACTCAATCAGCTTGGTCCTGCAGTCGTGAAGATTGATGATTTCTTTCATCCTGTTGGGTGCCAAAAGCAGCTGGCGTTTGAATGCACAGGTTCGCTTCGTTGCCCTCTCCGGACGAGTTCCGCCGGATTCCCAGAGATATTTAACTCAACGGATATAGGGGCTCCCATGACTGCCGAAGTTCATCTGGTATCGTCGCTAATGACTCGTGCAGGACATTATTAATCAGGGTGGACCCTCTGCGGTTGATTTTGACGTCACGGGTTGTGGAGGTTGAGCGGATCGAGGAGTTGGAGAGATCTAAGCCGGTGGCCTGTCATTATGTTTCGAGCATGCCGGTATTGCTGGGTGGTTGTGATGACAATGGAATGGTATTTGAATTGCGATTATATCTGAGCAGGATACAAAAGACTGACGGGCTCTTCCATAGAATCGGGAAGCTATACAGAGGGTTGCGTTCGTATATAAAATGCCGTCGGCCCGATACGAGTGGATCTCGGCAGTTGCTCGGGACCCGGAAGCTGCAGGATCCGTGAAGACTTTTATCTTATCGCGTGTGGAAGGGAATATAAGCATGAAGATGACGATGGAGCCCCCTGTTGGACTGGATCTCGGTCTCTCTCAAAGACTAGGAACAAAGCTACATAACAATAGGCAACATCAATGATGCTTGACAGATTGACAATCCTTGGAAGACCCGGTCTCAGCAGCTCTAGACTGCAACTCAATGACACGGTTGTCTTCCCCGTCGCGGTCTAGATTGGATATCGCTGTTTGCAGTTCTCAGGGTAATGGTTTACCAAGAGCTCACAGGTCATGCTATTGGTGGTAGCTTTTTCCACGACGTCCAAGCTATAGTCTGTAAATTCGTACGAACCTATATTAGCCATTGATGTTGACTGAAGGGACAGTTGTCTGACTTGTCTTCTTCTTTCGGATATCTGTTCCAAGGTTCGGGTGGTGTTTAAATACAGCAAACTATCAAACCTTCTCATTTCCATGGTCTGGACACACCCAGATCGCTCTATAATGCTGTACACATTCTCGCCTGTTCGTCAGTCTATAAAAGAGAACGAGGATTCCAACCCTACCCTCTCTATTCTGCATTGTAGTTCTTTTCACATACACACATTAAAAGGATCTCGAAGCAAGAGGAAAACAACCATGAACCTCAAGACCATCCTAGCCCTCTGCGCCATGGCCAGCATGGCCACCGCCGCTCCAGCAGGAGATTTAGAAAAGAGAGATTGCCCTGCTGGCAAGAAACGATTTTGCTGCGACACTTTTTTCCCCGTCAATATCCTTTTCGTCCGTGCGGTTGGGACCAACTGCGCACGTAAGTTACCGGAACGTGCCTCTCCAATGAGATGGAACTGACTTCTGTAGTCCAACAGAGCATAATCGGAAACTGTCCGTCGGGACAAGTACAGGGTTGTTGCGCCAGCAACCTTCCTCTCGTAAGTTATTCCTTTTTGAACAGTGAAGGTGCCTGCTGACTTGACTCAGAGTGGTGGGAGTCTTGCTTGTACCGCGTTGTAATCGTCGCCATTTCTACTGTTATGCAGCAAGTCTATGTTTGTGCTCAATTTCCTCGTTTAATTTCAGTAGGGGCGGTTTCAGGTGCAGAAACGACAGCCAGAAAAACTACGTTGTACTGTCCGTTATGGGCCAAACTAAAAGTCCTGACATTTGTATATTCAAAGTTCTTCAATCGCTTGCAATTTATCATACTTGGGAGGCTCCTTCGCGAAAGCAATCAATGTCCTTTGTCGCATAAGCTCCGACAACAAGATGAGCAATGACAGAGTAGAGAAACTCGCTAACACTAGCGCCATTATGTCCTCCCTTCAAGACTGAAGATGTCCCAGTCACTCCTCCAACACAGATTTGTGGAAACGAGAGACATCACCCGTGTAGACCACACACCAACACTCAAGCAGAGGATGTAATATGGAGAATCGCTGGGTTTCCCGAATCCTTCGACCAAACCTCAATTCTGCCAAACTTTGTTCCTAAGAATATAGAAAAATTTCCATCTTCATTGGCCCCCTTACAAGCAGGTGTAACATCGATGACCCCCATATTCGCATAGGCAGGGACCTCAATCTCCGCAAATACGTCACCCGACTCTGGGGCGTTCTCTCCGGTAACCGTATCCTCGTCCCAGTCGGAAGAGAGCGCCTGGGCTACCGTGACGTTGACAGGTGCCTGGAGGGGCTTTGTGAAGGCGGGGAACTGGACCGTGCATGATGTGATGGAGGCAGCCGGGACAGGAAGTTGGAATGCGACCAGAGAGCGTATATAGGCCAGTCCACCGGTGTTGGCCTGGAGCGTGCCATCATGACCCAGCGTACATTTGTAGCAGTTACGATCGGGACATGTAGGGCAGCTTACGGTCGAACGGAGAATGGTAGAATCCTTCGTTGCAGGGGTATCGATTGCAAAGGATGAAATGATTAGACTCGTGAACACAGTGAGAGCTGTGCAGAGTCGAGGAGTTGTGAGATGCATTTCTTTTACAGGATACTTTGATCGATGTTTTGTTTGAAAAGTGAAAAGGGGCTAAAAGAGGGATTGATAGATGTACAAGAGCAGTATATTTATATAGACATATATGTAGCAACAAATGTTACGTTGTTTCTAGAAGTAGTGTAACTTTTCTGATGCGGCGCGAAGATAGACCTGAGGTTGCGAACCACGAGGTTCTTGATAAAGGCACACCACGCGATTACACTTACTCTGGTGGCAATTAACCTGTCATATGTCCCCAATCAATCTGCAGACACCTGAGCCTATTTTAAGACAAATACGAAGGGGAAGATGTTCCCATCTGCACGGTGGCGAATAGATGGATTGTGCTATTTTGATATACGAGTCTTGAGCCAATCATACACGGCAGTCACAACCTGATAGAAGGCAACTCACCGCCAGAATATAAGACATATAGCACACTCGCAGATGGTACAGCATCGTCATGAGTGAGACCATTCGAACACATGTGCTCTAACGGATCCCTTCCTCGCTCCTGGCACTTTCCCTTTGGCCCATGACAAGCGAACTCAAAGGTAGCGCGATGACGTGTATGTCTATACGAGTCTACAATCTATCGATAGTTTAGAACCTCAGGATTGCTCTACAGCGAGAAGCCATAATTGACGCAAGGCACACTAGTCCCGCCCCTCTTAAGTAGGAAAATCAAGCACATAAACAATTCGCTTTGGCAATATGAGTTTAACTTAATGAAAGGGATCACTCATCATCGCTTTCCTCTTCCTCCTCTTCCTCCTCTTCCTCGCTATCTTCCTCTTCGCCGGTGAATGTATTAGGCCTAAGTGCTGGTCGGCTTTTCACTTGACAAGACGCAATGGCCAAGAGGAGATCATTATCTCCTTTGTTCGAAGCAGCCCCCTCCAAAAGCTCCTTATAATCGTGTCCAATTTCCTCTACAATGGCTAAAAGCATATTCTTCGGAAGATACCTCCCTGGGGTACCCCAGAAGGGCTTGCCGATCTCGTTCTTGAGAGTAGGTAGAGCTCCCCCCCCTGTGTTATGCCCCCATGCTCGCCGCAAGACCTGGACGCAATAATGGTAGTAAAGATATCTCGCCGCCGGCCGGAAACTTGTCCGGAATTGAAGCCGTTGGCCATCTAGATCTCGCCATGTCTTTGCATGATAGGCCGAAATTCGTTTATCAAGCCTGTCCCAAGACAAATCAATGACTTTAATTTTGTATTCTCTAGTTTCTCGCTGTATCCAAGCGAGAAGCTCTTCTATCGCTGGTCTTTCAGTAAGGTCTGGCACGATGACCAGCTTTCCCGCATCGAAAACACGTTCAATGCCGTTAAATAGGAGAAGGCCATTCTTGGTTGAGAACAACTCTGGGGGTCGCTTCCTCCCGAATATTGCATCCATGGCATCTTGGCCATGCATATATGGAAAGAGGTGAGCAGCTTGGATGTCGGTGTCCATGCACCATTCGCCAAGTACTGGGCACCATAGATAATCTTCCGTCTCATGCTTTGCATTTCCCACGGCTATTAACTCATTTCGAAATGCTGATTGTGTCCCAGGATCTCGCTTTCCTGCTCCAGTGGACATGATTCCGAGTCCCATCTTACTTGTTGTAAACAATCTCATGAACAGGGCCCTGAAGCGCCGCTTTTTACCCTTTTCCTCGCCATCTTCCTTTCGTTTTTTGTAGACCATTGTTTCCGTCTGCTGAGCCTTGACTGTTTGCATGATAGAGTTCGCGGCATCAGTTTTCTCCCAATCTGACTGGGGGCCGGTAAAGTCTCTCAGCGAGATCTTTCGTTCAACCTCGGCCTTCCGTAAGACGAGATTTGCCACGTACTCGGACTGAGCCCAGAATGTTGCGTTGAATGACCCCTGGGCCTTGAGCTTTTTTCGGTTCATATTGATAAGCCCCTGTAGGTCGGCGCGTTGACTCTCTAGTTCCGGGCTATCCGCCCGCCTTTTGGAGGGATTCATAGTAATTTTGGGTTTCGGTAAGTTAGCTTTGGGTGTGCTGTATGCTGTAGCAAATAGAGGTTGTTTCTCCAGTATGGAATATGAATTTTGGGTTGGATAGAGCTTTCGCAAATGTATCTTAGAGTAGTCGGATGAGTAGTTTGCAACGCAGATTTTTAAGAATCAAGCTATGACTCAGACGGAAGGTATGACTGAGATTTACAAATTTGATGTGTAACTGAAGCATCATCGCTACGTAGGTGATATCGTATCTCAAGATTCCGTCATTATTACTACAGGTTGCGAAGCGCGTGAGGTAAAAGAAGATATATAAGCAAAGACCAGATAGCGTATTAGAAACATGTTGCACATTCCTTCATTTCTTCAAAGCTCATTCTTACTCTTCATAGGCCTTAAATTCAATTGAATTGATAGTATTATAGGCCCGGACAGTAAGCAACGTTATATGTGAAGCTTTCCCGCGCAGCGAATTGATACTTGCAAAATGTCTCACAAGAAAAGACCCGATAAGCATTCCACACATAGGCTCTTCTTCCATCCATAGCCGGTTGAGCCGCTTAGATATACTCGGCTCCCAAGTCAACAGTTAGGGTTAAGTCACTTTCATCTTAAATGCACCCTAGGGGATCTCGCCAAGAGGAAAGCGAACCCACGTCGTCTCTGGCACCATCAGGCCAGATGAACCAGCATAAAAGGCAACAAATGCGCAAATGACGGTAAAGGCACCACCGGCTTTGTTGACCTTCACACTTTGCGCGGGATGCTCAGTTGCAATGAAGTTGGCAATGCTCAACAGCAGATAGGCAATGATCAGGAAGAAGAAAACGAGAATGATAGACAGGTTCGTTCTCAAGGCCGCAAGAAGGAAGAGTACGGTCAGGAAGCACCACAGTATCAGATAAATGCCGATGGCGAACGTGTATGCGCGTTCGTCTCCGTTATACTGCCCTTTTATATCCAGAGAGGGAATGAGAAACATTGCGTAGCTGAGCCAAAAGGCGGAGTAGGAACAATGGACGGTGCAACCAAAGGTGTTTCCGACGCGGAACTCGAAGATGCCGGCGACAAACTGGGCACCACCGCCAAAGAAAATGGCTAGTCCGAAGGCAGCTTGGTTAGGCCCAACTTTGCCTTGAGGGTTGGAATGAGGCAGTCTGAATGCAAGCATCAATGTCAGTGGTTGCATGTATGACATAGACATATTCACCTACCCTGCGCCGCATTCATAGAGCCCAAGGACGAACGTTGTCAATGCGAAAGCTAAAAGACCCAAGGGACCAGGATTTGCGAGTTTCTGATATGGTGGTAAAGGCACCTGTGAAACAGTACGGATGTGGGCTTCGTGTTGGGGGAGAGATGCCACGGCGCCATGTTCATTGTGATAGGTAGATTGTCTCTCTTTTTGGAGATGGAATTGTGACGAGCCAGACTCAGCGGTATCCATCGCGGTTGGATTCGCTTCTCGTGTAGCGGACATATTGGTCAAAAGGGTGAACAACGATTGAGTGTCAACAGGTAGAGAAGGCTCAGACAGAGAAGTCCAGAACTAATCGTGAATTCGTAAAAAGGGGCCTCCGTGTTTCTGGGGAAGGTATTTTATACCCCAAACTCCAGGGCTGGAACCCCATACTGATCGGCAGCATTCCTTACAACCGAGAGACCCTCCTCATCACCGACTTAAACTCAATGCTGAAGCTCTACCAGGGGAGAGTAAATTTGGGGTACAACTATAATTCTCATTCAAAGATCATGAACTACACATTTGGCCACCAGGGTATTCTCCACTTCGCTACTGCTCAATAGAGCTTTACCATGTTACTAATCCAGCTAATCAAATCGCCACACGAGATGATTAGGTTCATTAGGATGGAAACTACAAGAGTAAATGGTAGGTCAAGGAGATCGGTACCCTGGTAAGGTTTCTATAGTTCAGTGTGCAATACCACCACTCCACCATAGGCTATATCCGAAGATATGTGGGGTATCATACAAGGTGTTGGAGAATGGCACTCCTAGTATACAAGCCGCATTACACGTAATGAGACGTCTGCTAGAGGAATAGGTTGACAATAAGCTTCTGAGAAGTTTTCCCGGGTGTAAGGAGCAATTTCTCTGTTGTAGCCTGTGATGAGCGTTGTCCACAAGTCTACTTGTTTGCTTTCCCAGTTTCGTAGCAAAGTGTGATTTGCATCCACAAGCTAGCAACAATAGTTATTACCAACAGAGACTTATAGGGGACATACACCTTTAGCGCTGTGTTACCCATTCTCCAAAGAACATTCCATGCGTTGACAGAGAATGCCCAGCTTTCTGAGTCTCGGTACCGGTGTCGAAGTCTCAACGATGAGTTTTCCACAAAGCCAGTGACTCTTGCGGTCTATGGATGCATTGGCAGAGGTAAACACGGCTAAAGTGGGTTATATGGCAACAATAAGACCAAAGAAATAAGATACAGGGGTGATGCAGTAGTGATACTACCCAAGAGTAGGGCTTCTCGACTTGCCGAGTTTCAACCTTTTTCGTTGAGTTGCGAACGTTGATTGGCTGCATGGTCATACTGAGAAGGGTATGGCGTTGATTCCTCAGGCCATCAACTGGATTCCCGAAAAAACACCGAAACAGGTTGAATAATTTTCACAGCTCTAGAACCTCTGGATTAATAAAATTTTGCAAGCATGTGCTGACAAAATGCTACTTGTACCGTATGATATAGTCCGGCTTGCCTACATGGCAGGCCGTCGTGCCATTTTGGTTGCGATATATACTACTCTGACAGATTCTCTTCGCCCAGAAAGCACGACTCAATTCAGCTTTGATGATACTCCTACCTGTTATGTTGCGAAGATCTTAGACAATAAAACATGCCAGAGTATTACCTATGTGTACCGTCCAAAACAGATCGTGGGCCTTTGCGTACTGCAGATCTTTGGTTAGCCGGATTGCCTCGCACTAGCATTCCACAACATGGATTCAACCCTGGTACGCTTCATTAATAATCTATTCCATACTATGACATATCATCTAAATGTGTTCTTTCACAGAGTCAGAGGAATCAACATGCAGTCTTTGCTTTGCTACGCTAGAACCCGGGTTTATATTGCGCCATTTACCCTGTCAGCACAGCTTTCATCAGCCATGTATAGATGAATGGCTGTGCGAGCATGACGCTAGTTGTCCTCTCTGTCGCCGGACCTTTTACCATTTGAGGAAGTCATATCTCATAGAAAATCCGACTTCATCCAAGCCACAACCTCAGCCTGACATGGACGCTGAGGTTCGCGAAGCACGACAGACATTTGTGAAGTGGTGGAAAGAATTGTTCACATTAGGCTGGTTCCACCATGATAGAACGTTTACTGAGCGAAAGCATCACTTTCATCACCAGACGCAGCATCCGGGTTGAACGATGCCTCGTGTTTCGTACCAGAAATGTGGAAGCTCTAGGGCATAATGCTTGTCCACCATTAAAGCTTAGGGGATTCCATAGGGTGTGTTTTGGCACCTACATAATCCGACCTTTCGATCTGCCTCCTGGGGAAGACATATGCTTCGACGGGGGCCTATAAAATGCCAATTTCCAGTCACAATGGGGGCTATGTCGTGGATGGCTGCGCTGGAAGGCATTCGGCATTTCTCTGGACAACGCAATGATTATCACTGATAGGCACGATTTCATGCTTGTCGGTTTACTGAGCCCCACGGCCTCACGAGCCAATTTCCCACAGAGCAAATGTTTGACAACTTGGTGCCTCTGTTCATTCGACATACAACACCCGAGAACCCCTTTCATTGGTTCGTCAATATTCGATGATAGTGGCCAACCAGCGCACCGATCAGACTTCGCTCGAGGTACACCGGATAGGTCGGTTTCACGGTCGGCTAGCAGTTAGGTCAATTCTGGATGTGTTATGCTGTGCCCCCCTGCCTGCGTTGTGCGCATTGTATACCGTCCGGCAACAGCATCAAGTCAATGCCGATACCCCAACTGCCGGGTGGCAGGGATGTGCCTTTTCCTCAGATTCGCCGCTACTGCGGGCTGTTCTCGGGGCACTCCCCCTCCTCGACTCGAGGTACAGGCATCAATGCCGATCTCGGGAGGTTCCCCGACTTCACGGTAACCCAAATGATGGTTAGTATAGACGACAAGCTTGGCGCCAAGAAACGTGCATCGTCGTGAATTGCGGGGTGTCCAGCATGATGACGGGGTTCAGATCCATTCTCGCGCAAGGACTTGTTGTAAATCCCCGAAGTATACCCGTTCTAGTGAGCACGACGCATTTTACTTCGTGCCGTGTCGGGTCTCCTCCGATATGACCTAAACGACACTATGTTACTCATAATCGCAAGCTTTGGCAATGGAAAGGCTTAAATAGACGTGGCTACCCACAGATTAGAAGGAATGAAGACTCGGAATAGTACAAGTGATTCATCCTTATGAAGGTCCTATCACCTTTAGCTTCGATAGCGCTGGCGCAGGGCACGCTCTGTGCAGCCCAAGGCTATACCAATGAATCGGAGGTTCCTTACTATGGCCGGAGTCCCGCCGTATACCCCTCTCGTAAGTTTACGTAGACTGCAAGAAAGCTATTACCCGGTCCAAGCCCTAATTGAAGTAATTAAACTGACAAAGAAAACCAGCGGTCGGCGACGGGGCAACAAGCTCGGTCTGGGAGAGCGCCTATCAGCGCGCGAAAGCCCTTGTCTCGCAACTAACCGTGGAGGAGAAATCTAACCTCACCCGCGGGTTTGACGGGCAGTGTGTTGGAAACACTGGTGCAATTCCTCGTCTTTCCATCCCTTCGCTTTGCTTCTCCGACGCACCGGACGGCATTCGAGGGCAAGAATTTGTCTCTGCCTTTCCGGCAGGCATTCACGTGGCGGCAACATGGGATCGCTCCCTCATGTATCGCTATGGCCATGCACTGGGCCAGGAGTACCACGGAAAGGGCATCAATGTCGCCTTGGGTCCCGTCGCGGGACCTTTGGGAAGGCTGGCCAGAGGCGGACGCAATTGGGAGGGACTCGGCGCGGATCCTTATCTTGCAGGCGGAGGGATGGGACAGATCACTAAAGGTATCCAGGGCGCCGGAGTGATTGCTTCGGCGAAGCATTGGCTGTTGAACGAAGAGGAATGGAGAAGAAACCCCGGGGATATGGGGGAATCACTAAGCTCGAATGCTGACGACCGGACCATTCATGAGCTATATGTTTTCCCTTTCATGGATTCTTTGAGAGAAGGTGTCGGAAGTGTGATGTGCTCTTACCAGCGTTTAAACCACAGCTACGGGTGTCAGAACTCGAAACTGCTCAACGGTATCTTGAAAACCGAACTCGGCTTCGAAGGGTTCGTGGTGAGCGACTGGGCAGCGCAACATTCTGGCGTTGCTTCGGCCAATGCTGGTCTAGATGTTGTTATGCCAGACGGTGGCTTCTGGGGCCGCAATCTGACAGATGCTGTCGCAAATGGCAGTGTCACCAGTGAAAGACTGGACGACATGGCAACGCGAGTCCTGGCAACCTGGTTTTACAGTGGCCAGGACGAGGGCTATCCCTCCCCCGGAGTTTACTCGGAATCGGAGAAGCACGACCCTATTGACGTTCAAGAGGACCATGCGACATTGATCAGAGAAATTGGTTCCGCTGGCACTGTTTTGGTTAAAAATGTTAACAACACACTGCCATTTACGAATGCAACCAGATTCCTTAGTGTGTATGGCTACGACGCAACGGTTAGCGCAGCCCCATGGGCCAATCCCTCGCGCTATGGTGGCGGTTACGAAGTCAACTTCGGTTGGAGCACCTTCAACGGCACTCTCATCACCGGTGGAGGCTCTGGGGGAAGCACTCCTCCATACGTGGTGAGTCCCTTCCAAGCACTACAGGAGCGTATCTCGAGGAATAAAGGAACTCTTCGCTGGGATTTCTACTCAGAGAACCCCTCCCCTGCATACGTGAATAGTGACGCTTGTCTCGTGTTCATCAACGCGTATGCGTCGGAGGCCTTCGACCGAACCAGCTTGACAGACGAGTTCAGCGACAATCTGGTGCGCAACGTTGCAGCCAATTGTACCAATACTATCGTGGTCCTTCATTCAGCCGGTAAGTAGTCAACCCTCATTCAGGGCAAGATAGTCCGCTAACAATCATCGAATGAACCAGGAATCCGCACGGTTGACGCATGGGTCAATCACCCCAACGTGACCGCAGTTCTCTTTGCAGGTCTCCCCGGGCAAGAAAGTGGTCACTCCCTCGTTGATATCCTGTACGGCGATGTTAGCCCGTCCGGAAGACTTCCTTTCACCGTCGCCAAGAACGAATCCGACTACGGAGAGTTGCTAAACTCGACTGTCTCGTTCGACGCGTTCCCCGAAGTGAACTTCACCGAGGGCTTATACATCGATTACCGGGCTTTTGATCGTGACGGCATTGAGCCGCAGTTCGAATTTGGCTTTGGCCTGTCGTACACCACCTTCGAGTACTCTGACCTTGCGATTACGTCTACAGGAAATAGTACTTCCCCTCTGGTGGACGCCAACACTCCTATCGTCCAGGGTGGACATCCACAGCTGTGGGATATATTGTTCGAAGTCACCTGCTCCATCACCAACACGGGTGATATATCCGCGTCAGAGGTCGCCCAGCTGTACGTTGGCATTCCAGATGCCCCCGTGCGACAGCTGCGCGGCTTCGAAAGAGTACCACTAGAACCGGGTGAGACGAAGCAAATATCCTTCCCGTTGACCAGGAGGGACCTCAGTATTTGGGACGTTGTGGCCCAGCAATGGAGGCTTCAACCCACAGAATACACAACCTCTGTTGGCGCTAGCAGCAGGATCCTGCACTTGAATGGGACTATTCAGATTGCTTAGTTCGGTAGGATGCTGTCATGAACAGACCAGGCCACTGTGAGTTTGAAACACTTAAATACAAACAGCTTAGTCGAGTTGGACTCAAGATGGTTGGCCACACTAGGCCATGATAGAAATTGAAAGTCGTATCACCCCAGCTAGCTGAATGTTGGTAATTATTACTCTATGTCTATACAATGGGTAAAGTAGGAAAGCAGCACATAGATCTAGAACGCACATACTAATCATTGATTCGGAGCTTCCATCATCAATTCATAGCAGTCAGAACAAGTGGCGACCACTTCAACAGAAGTGAAACAGCAGGGTCACAAACCTACTTCCGCCTTGTCTATATTAACCACAGAACAAATGTTCTCTAGCTGTCATGCCACTCTGGCCGACTATTCTTGCAGAGCTCGAAAGAACCTCCTAAACTGCGTATCCCGTTGCAACAGAGTGGTAGGATTATCATATTCAACAAGTTCTCCCTGTTGTATGACCGCCACACGGTCAACCCGATCGACGAAGCACAAGCGATGACAGACAGCAATATAGTTTGGGAGGCGAATTCCATATCTATTCTGTCCTGCGTGGTCGTCTCCGTTTCCCAATCCACGCTACCGTCAGAGGTTAAAATCATCTGTATAGCTCGAGAAGAACTACTCACCTGCTAGTCGCTTCATGTAATAGCAAGATAGGTCCCTTGTGCACCAGGGTTCGAGCAAGCGCTAGCAGCTGCTTCTGGCCAACTGACCGTCAGAAGGGACGAATTCCGCATCCAAGCCTCCTTTAGCGGATTGCGGGAGTCCTCAGACGAAGAGAGAGAAAGACAATTTGCAAGACGTATAGCATTACCGGCATTGATAACTTCCAAATAGCCAACCGATAAGTTTTGACTTTCACTGATGTACGGTGTAGCCATCGGAGTCGCAATGGCAACAGCACGAGGAGCACGGCTGCAGGAAGGGCGATAAAGAAGATATCTTCAAACAGCAGGGTGAAGTCAAAGGAATGGCAGTGTGGGTTGACCCGGGGCCCGAATTTATTATCATTCACTCAGCCCTCGATGGCAACTGATAGTCGATGTAAACCCCGGGCAGGACTACAGATCAGCGAGCACGAGGGGGGCTTAAACCTTAGCTGATAAATGAAGGCTATGCAATGGTGTCAGCAATAGAGACAGAGAGGCCGAGATTAAACTGCAGGTTCCATCGAAACGGATTTCGACTAAACTAGGGCTTGACTGGATGCCTTATCGTCAGCCAATCAATGCCTCAGGAAGCACCCGATAATTGATTATACTACTGGTACTATCACTGAGCATAGGCTAATATGCGACATAACGCTAATCAGTCGTGTTCTAGTCAACACAGGATCATCATCCTGACCGATGTCTTCTGCCCGACACGGTATACCGCCACCGGGTGGGAAGACCAATGGTTAGCTAGGCCAGGTAGACAGAATGCTTAACTCAGAAGCAAGCACGCACACATACTTGGTTTCCGAAACTCAAGCATGCATTATCTGATCTGGATTGAGCATGACGCCATCAAAAAGACCCACCCCATCGTTTCATGCCTACTCCTTTAGCCAGCTGGGTGGCGTTGTTGCCTACGAGCAGAGCCGCTTCAGATCAAGACTATCCATCTCTAGGCATCAGTCAGAAACATTGAGGCCGCGTTTGAGGTCTAGCGTCAAGTATCTTTGTCCTCTATTCCTTTGTTTCCTGGGCAATATGAATATGGCCTCAGCCCTACCTGATTAGTAGCATCGAGACCTCAGTTTGCATCGATTCTGACACCTTCAGTCAGAAAAAATAGAACAAGGTGGTTTTCTTGAAAAACACCACATGATGCGGCAAGAGTGCGCAAAGATAACACACAACGTCAAGGGAGCTTCGTGGGGATCCTTTTCCCCCTAGGTAAAATAGCGGAGGATTACTAGATCTCCTGAATAGTCCTGGCTCTGCTAGATGATAATGGTCTAGACTTTCACCTGGCCCCTGTAACGTGCTCGCCCCTGGGAAAGCGAAAGCTTGTCGCTGCCGGAAACCGTCCCGAGCTAACCTATGTTAAGACGTTCCTCGAAAGCATGTTTACTCCTAAAACTTTCCCTCAGTTCACTAGAAGTTCAACTAGAATTATTCAAGCACACAGCTGGCACCAGGATGTTAGATAAGTGAGGCAATGCCAAGAGACGCTCCGGAAAATTGTGCGCGTCATTATATCAGACGTGTATCGAGCGTCCCACATACACTGAGGTGGGCTGAAACCTCGAATTTACAAGGGACTGTAGGATGAATGCCTAGCACCTAGGTCCTTGACCAGAAACCTGAGAGAGAATTCTTCCACAACTCAGAAGCGTCAGTTTACAGGACAAGTTTCTCCGGTTTTAACGCATCGGTTGTCGAGGTCTTGGCAGGACTTCCCCCGCATTGCCCGATGATTTTCTTCACGACGGCGCTCCACATCTCCGGAATATTCGCTATCCTCCTTGCTATCAAACAGGGATCTTTCCGGTGGGGGAAGCCTCGGCATGCGAGATGCAATCAGCGGTCTGTTGTAGTAGGCCAGGCCTGGTGAGCGTCTGACACGGCCATGGTATGCTCAACGGTGCATAAATACCGTGTCTGGCGTAGGAGTGGGCAATCACTAGAACTGACAAGTTTGTGTCAAACTGACACAATCTCTTTGCAAGTCCCAATGTTTTTCAGGTTATTGCAGGCCCTTTTGGGGTTATGGGCTATTTTCCCCCTAGCCTCCGCATACACGAACCCAGTTCGCAATCCCGGTGGCAGTGACCCTTTCGTGGTCTATACCGGAGGCTACTACTATCTTCTCACAACGACCTGGAATGACGTGCAAGTCAGCCGGGCAACTACCATCGAAGGCCTTAAGACGGCCGAGAAGAAGGTAGCTTACACGACTACCGAGGAGACTCACTGCTGCAATGTGTGGGCCCCCGAAGTTCACTACCTGGGTGATAAGTGGTACATTTACTACACTGCCGGCAATAGTGTGGATCTGGATGGTCAGAATATGCATGTGTTGGAAGGTAGGCTGCTGTCCTCGAAATCTCGGCGCATTTCTTTACAGGGCTAACGGTCTTTAGGTGGTGCGACTCCCTGGGATGATTATACCTACGCCGGCCAACTGACCACGGCATGGGGAATTGACGGGACCATCGTCCGGTTCAACGACTATGGCAACTTTATGGTGTGGTCATGCTTCCACGGCGTCACCTATCAATCCCTCTGTATTCAGCAGCTGGGGTCGGACTACACCTCGTTGACTGGCGACATCTCCGTGATCTCCGAGCCAGTTGAAGACTTTGAAACGCACGGTACACCGGTCAACGAAGGTCCCGCGGCCCTCTATCTCGACGGCAAGACGCATATCGGGTACTCGGCGTCTTACTGCTGGACGTCTTACTATTGCGTGGGACTCCTGACGTGGGACGGCGCCACCGACCCGACAGACAAGAACGCCTGGAGCAAGCACGACGGCTGCCTTTTGTCATCGGCCAACGGAAACTACGGAACGGGTCATAACTCGTTCTTCCAAAGCCCTGACGCTTCGCAGACGTGGATCGCCTATCATGCTACTACCATTGAAAGCGGCGCATGTAATGATAGCCGTTATGCGATGGTGCAGGAGATCAGCTCGGGGAGCAATGGCATCCCAAATCTTGGAGAAGCGTTGGCCTGGACAGTGGAACTCAGCGAGCCAAGCTCCTAAGAGTCTGCAGGACGTAGCGTCACGGGAATGGACATTGCACTATAGCGCAGGTTCTCGGATAGACGAGAAGTCGGCATGAAATGCGATAAATCTATGTACATACACACCTCGACCCTGGCGGTTTGGTGAGCAGGGATCATGTAAGCAGAGAAACCAAGACATACAGCAAGATCATTGATCTTGTTGTCCTCAGCCTTTGATTAATTTCCAATAGTTGAAATGACAATTATCGATGTAGCGGTGTACACTCAAGGTCCATCGGCTGAAGTGGTAGAGTGATAAACATCATTTGTTCATCGCAGAGACCATGGTTACCCAGCCGGCTATGGTCACAGGGACTGGCTTACACCATCGGCCTGTAGGCTTCGAAATAGGAGGCGGCAGAACTCTTAGGTCAGGCGATGGAACGCGCCACTAGGGTAGGGGGTTGGAGAGACCAGGAGCATTCGTGTTGAGCATGTATGGTATGCATCTCAGGTTGACTACAGCGCACCTTTGAGCTGCGTATTTAGTGTACGTCAACAGCCCGATAATTGCCGGAAACTGAGAGGTTGTGAGTCAGGCGTTCCGAAGCGTTTGACCTAGAAACTCAGTCAAGCAGGGGCCCTCGCCTTGCAACTCTATCGGTGGTTTTGAATGCTTCCGAAGCGGCAACGCTGAGATAGGATTGCTGCAGACACTTTTTCAAGGATTAGCTCAAGCTATTATTTGTCTGGCTTTTTAGTACCAAGCAGCCTGAGTATGCCAATAATCACTCTTAAGGCCTCCTTCCGTCGGTCACGTTGACGAAGATCGTAGGATTCGGAATGATACACTCGAGGTTCCTCGCTTGGCAGCCTCCCCAGAATCAAGTCAGTCCAGTAGGCTGAAGATGTAGTTGTCGTGCTAAACTGCAACACAGTTCTATCTATACGTAAAACGAAAGACCTATGGCTTGGATCTTGGCTATTCTGTTCATAGGCAAGAAAGCCCTGTAAAAGCATTTGCGAAATATCCTGGGCCATGTTCCAACTGTTGTCCGCCACAACCTTTCGTTCAAATCAGTTTCTGCGGACAGGCAAGACGATATCATGGGACCTTACAGAGAACGTGGCCCAGGGAAAACGCGGAGGCGACATATCCACCAGGGCACCTTCACATCTGAGCGAACCTTGTATCCCATAAGGACGGATTTCAAATGGAATTCTTGGGCGTAAAACAAGCTGCCTGTGTTGTCTTAGTCCGTTCGAGCACCAAGCCAGCAGGCCTGACTAACAGGCGTTCAGCGGCATCCACGTGGACAATTATGCTCTCCAAGAGGAATGTTAAAGCTTGTCGGGAAGCCTCTGAGCCGTCTTTGGCCTGTGCTGCTTCCTGAAGTCGCACAAAAACCAAACGGTACGGACTTCGTCGGTAAAGGGAACGCTTTGACCCGAAATCCGCTAAATCTTGCTCGGATGGCCCTGTAAGCTCCGCAGCAAGGAAGTCGAATTCTAATGGGGGTGTTACAGTAAATTGGGCGACAAGGAGCATAGATACTAAGGGGTCAATCAACCTTCATCTCCATCGGAAGGGAAGGATTCCATGCCAAGAATGCGATCGGCCGACTTGGTAGCTTTGAGATAAGTTGAGCGTTCGAAACTGCGCCGAGGTCCATTTCCATGGTGATATAAGGACGGTTTTAAGAGACTCCATGGCTGCGATACAAGGACATTGCACGAGCAGGAGAGCAGAGAGAGTAGAGAGTAGAGTAAAGTAGAAGAATGTTGGAAAGGGCAATGTGTGACTGAGTACTGACCGCCTTAGAGAGGCGGGGAATCAAAAAAGAATGACCGACGCAGGGATCGAACCTGCAATCTCTTGATTCGTAGTCAAGCGCCTTGCCATTGGGCCAGCCGGCCAGCTGTTGAGTAAACTTACAGGGATTTGACATTATAAGCAAAACACAAGTCGCCATCTCTTGTTCAACAGTATCGCATCCGCTGTTTCGTCTATTTTTCATATTAAATCCTTCAAACGCTTGAAATGGAAGAGGATATTTGCCGTGAGTATATCAACTCAACTTGAAGACACATTCATGGGGTATAAATCACTTTTCATGTCGCTGAGTTCCTTTGTTGTTGTTTCCACATCTGGGATATATATTCCTGATACCATCCGCTGCCAGGGTAACATTCTACATGTAGTAACACTACAGTGTAATTGATTCACACCAAATCTATTTACATATTGTGATCGATCGAAAGGTCAACGATTTCATTATTATTTCGTCATGGCTCTACTCTTCAAATCATACCTCCATATCGATAACTTTTACATGCCAATACTCCGCCTCCCAGTACAAAACCGAACCCCGCAAGCCTCGATAGACATGATATCCAACAGTATGTTTTCCAGAATGTATCGACTCGAATTGGTAATCCCAACAGACTATGCCAGCCTGAGTCTCTACCAGGTCCCCTTGTCATGAGGATAATCATATCGACTATCACCCTTTTTCGTGTTCCAATCCATGTACTCGACCAATTTATTATCCACAAGCTGGCGCAGATCAAGATTCTTTCCATGGGCCTGATCTTGATCGATGGTAAGTGCATTGATCGTTAGATACCCAGTCACATCCTCCTGGAATATCTCAGGATCCATTCGCCAGACTGTGACCGTCTTCGTCGATTCTTCTATACCCGGCAGATCGGGCTTGCCATCACGAGTGGGGATGGCCGCCGAAATGCTTTCGACATCGATCTGGTCCTGCTTCCAGTGAGGTACGGTCGCGAAACATCGCACGCCGCACGTCGGACAAAAGAACCAATTTATATGACCATTCGGGCATTTATAATTAGCCAGCGTATCGCGATCCAGCGGGGAGAGTAAAAAGAATTGGTTGGGCGCGTCCGGAAGTCGCAGGTGGAACATTCCCATTTTGTGACACGTCGTGCAACTGCACTTGTAGAATCGGAGGTGGGCACCTTTGGCCCCATCCGGGACAACTGCTGGTGGCATCGGAATGAAAGTGATGTATCTGATAAACCCGCAGTGGCAGGAGCCATGGTAGGGGAGGCTGGAGTGTTGTTCGGCGGAGGTCGTCATTTTGGAGCAGGGTGTTGCAGCAGCTGTCGTTCAAGTCAAGACTTGCGACTGATGGTTTTCCAGGACTGCAACAATAAATAGAAGAATTCACGGTAAGCGCTAACTCAATTCGTGAGTCATTTGTCGTATGTTTATTATTGCCTTCTCCCCGCAGGACCGACGTGGATCCATACTTATGCGGGCTGCTGCAGCGATCGTCAGTTTTGGACATCAGATTGGCGCTCGGAGGCTGATGCTTTCTGCTCTGGAAAAGAATTGGCTCCACTTTACGGTTACATCGGCCATGGGGGCTGAAACTAGCTCTTTGTTCTGTCCAAAGGACACTTTACTTTAATACGTCAACTGGTCAACTGTGGTCAAGGGCCTATATACGGAATGAGCGTGCACGGACGCTCTACTCGAACATCCGATCCAGCAAAGCCACTGGTTTTCCTCTTCTCCGGGCATATTCGACCTCCTCATACTCATCAATCTCTCGTTTGATGCCCCCTAACTGGAGGTCCGCCTTGCCGATCCCCACGTACCGCGTGCGCCGGAATATCTTCCAGAACACGAAAGTAAGCGCATAGAATCCGATCATAACATAATTGAGAAAGAACGACTCCAGGTCCCAACCACCGGAAAGAAAGACGTCATACCCCAAGACCAGGATCATCACTCCTGTTCCGCCCAGAGCGTACCACGCCGTGTAGGGCTGGAAGCGACCCCGATAGGGGAGGGTTTCGCGTGACACGCCCTGACGGCGCAGTGACGCGTGGAAGTGTAGGTAGGTGATGCATGTTCCGAAGTAGTTGAGGAGATAGCAGCCAGCGATGCAACTGACTAGCCAATTGAGTACAGTGGCTGAGCTGTTGCTGACCTGGAGGAAGCCCAGGAGGGAGAATGCCATGGCGATGGCCACTGCGTTGTATGGCAATCCGGCTCGGTTCGTTTTGGAGACCCATTTTGGCGCTTTCTTCTCTAAAGACATGCCGTATAGGGTCCGCGACGCGGAAAACACGACGTTGTTTCCCGCGGACAGGACCGAGGTCATGATCAGCACATTAACAATGTCCGGGAGGACCTTGATTCCAAAATGGTTCATAGAGATGACATAGGGAGACCTGAAATATGGTTAACGAACTTGGATTCTAGGGTTCAAGGTCCTGAATCCTACTGACGCGGCACCGGTGCCACTGCCCTGTTTACTCCCGTCCAGCATGGCAGCCAACGTGGGGTCGTCGTACGGAATCACGATTCCTACACAGAGCGCTCCCAAACAGAAGAAAAACATAAGACGCCAACCAAACGATGCGAATGCTTTCCGCATGACTCTTCGGGGTCGCTCAGATTCACCAGCCGCCATGGATATAAATTCTGGCCCGACCATTCTATCCATCCGATTTGGCTATTAGCACGCCCCTTGTAAGACTGTAGATGGGCATGATGAAAGACAGGTTGGTGAAGGATCCACTTACGTGAATGCGCCCTGGATCATGCAACTCAGCACCCCAAGAAAGCGGCCAGTGTCTCCGGGCACCAGATGTGAGACAAATGCTCCCTACACATCGTCAAACAAAGTGTATCGATTAGCTGAATACCTGTTATGAGCAATCAAATTGGAAAGTGTGCACGAACTGGGTCGTTCCAGTATCGGAATCCAATGGCATCACGGTGGGGATTGCCGCCCACCATGGTGACGAACGTATAGAGAATCAGGCCCAGCATCAAGAATATCTTGAAGAACGACAGGTAGAACTCAGCAATGCCGAAGTAACGAACTGTAAGGACGTTCACTACCCTAAACGGTGTCAACAGTATGATCCTGGGTCCAAGCAACTGGTGAGGTCGTTACCCATAGAGGACCATGACTATGACGACAACCGCTGCAACGGGCACTTTGTCGGTCCAGTAGGTAAGCAGAACATTGATGGCGACAATCTCATAAGGAATGTTTAGCGCTGTATATGGTGTTTGGACACACCCGAGGTGAGTATACTTGGTGACGGGATGTCAGACACGAAAACTAACCCATGGCCAAGAAGAAATTCCAGCTCATTGCGAAGCTTAAGGCATCATCTACCCAATGCCCGGCTAAGCGCACGAAGGGCGACGGAATGGGCATGTAGCAAACCATCTCCGCTGGATGTGCCTCTGAGCATTAGCCCGGTATCACATTATATCGCCAACACGGATACAGTAATCGTCATCGTTGGAATGGATCTCGAGAACCAGACCTACCAAAGCATTCATTCACGGCCAGAACAATGGTACCGTACGCAATGAATCCGATAAAGAGGCCGGCCGGGCCACCTTTGGGCAAGGCTGCGCCCATTTGTACAAAAAGCGCTGGGGCGAATCATTACATTGCGGCGATTGTGAACAGGTTGAGGACCAACATACATGTACCGATAGCTCCTCCGACTGCAAAGAGCTGAACCTCTCGTCCACGGAGTTTCCTGTGAAGCTTCTGGGACCCCGGAGAGAGCACCTCGGTCTCACCCACACCATTCTGATCATCACCACTGAGCGGATCGGATTGTACTTCCTTACGAATGTCGGCAGATGCAGTCGATGCCATGATGATACTTCCTAGGTAACTGTAGTTGCTTGGAGGAAATCAGCATGGCGAAGTCTGGTCTCCCGATTCATTTTGATCGCAATGCACGTGTATTGGCCTCAGTTAGCGTTTCAGAGATCTTCATCTTACGATGGCGCCGAAGTGATCAGCGCTCTAAGAGGGGTAATATGCACCTCACCACGTCACACCGTCGATTATCTGCAGTAATACGATTCTCCTATGCACCACACTAGCCTCTCATGTTGTTAGGATGATAAGTAGTCCCCGCTTAGTGGCGCAGGAGTACAGGGGATCGCCTTGTCACACCCAGCCAAGAATCGCGTAGATACTTTGAGATGCAGTTACCGGGGCCTGTGCGACGCCGACTCAAGCGTGCGAAGGAAATAACTTATGTTAGCCCGTCGATAGTTGAATGCAGTCCGTTGGTGCCTACCAAGGTTGCGGGTGCATTTGATACGAAGAGTCTTGAGAATGCTTCCTTGAATATGTGGTATACACTAACATCCAATGAATGCAGTGTCTAACAAGGCGTAATGGATTATTTACAAGAGCCATATTGTAACCGTAGGTCACGTAATGGAGGATCAATCCAGAAGCACCGAGGTCGGCCAAGATTCAACTTCACTCATGTACTCATTAACTTAATTCTCATAGACCATTACTGCGCTTTTGTACAAAGAAAGTATGCAATGCCAGACATGCCCCACTCTTCTCGTTCTCGATCTTTTCCTAGAATCTCTGGGTTTTGATTCATCGATGGAAAATCATCTGGTCTTTTTCTCTTCAACTGCATCTCCGCTGTCACTGCCGCCAGAACCATCAACCAACACAGCGTCCGCATCCGAGTCGTACTGTGCCCGAACGCGCTCGCGGCCTCGCTCCTTCATCGAGTCGCGAATTCTCCGATTGACTTCTCCGAGATCATCCTTCGATCCGATCGTTAGTGGTTTGAGCAGGGTGTCCTGGAGGAAGCCGGCACTTCGGGATCGGCTGCGGCTGCCTCGGGTTTTACTGGTGTTTCGGCTCTCGGGCTCACTGGGCGGCATGCTCTTCAGCCGAGACTGGTACGTGTCATCATGAGGATAGCCATGGGGAACGAGTTTCTCATGTTCAAAGTCCGGGAAGATCTCCGGTGCAAAGGCATTGATTGTGTCGACCACCTTGGTGGACAAAGCTTGGCGCTCCTCCCGCAGCTTGGCCAAAGAGTTTGCCGAGATGGGGTTCAGGGCAACGAGAAGGGGTGGGAGAGATTTGAGCACGTCCATGCCAATCTCGCCGATTCGCAAACCAGCGAAGGAGACGGAAATCATCAGACCGAAGAAAAACATAGAAAAGAGCCACAAGGGAATGCTATCGGGAATGTAGGTCCTGGGGTTCGTCCACCAGGGTGAGACAGCGCAGTAATGCCCACCGTTGCGACAGTAATGTAGCCATGTCGTCACAACCACCGTATACCAGGTATACAAGGCAGGCGCCAGGCCCATTGCGACGAGAATCTTCCAGGTCCCGACCACATCACGGCCTTCGAGCTTGACCACGGAACCAGCAAGAGCTTTGCGCTGCTTTTTCACCGAAATCACCTTGGTAGTAACAAAGACCGGCCAAAAGAGAGCGACAGACGGTAGCGTTCCTGCGGCTAGAGTGAGCAGCTCACCCACGCGATACAACAGCGTGCCCAAGACCATCCACCACGGTCGGTGCTTGACGTCGCCCCATTCGACCTGGTGGTCCCGAATACCCAAGGCTCGAAGACGTCGATTGTAGTCCGAAATAGCCTTCTTAAGTTGGAGGACCTTCGGCTCGTCCTTGAACTGAGTGTAACCCTTGAGCAGCCGTCGGTTGACTTCAATGACAATCGGCAAGGGCAGCTTCATCCGGAGAGGTCGGTAGAGTCGTCTCGTGGCTTGGACAAGCATGAGCGTCTCGTGGTCGGGCGCTTGTTGAGTCACTGCAGTCAGAGCTTCGTTAATCGTTTCCAGCAATGATCCCACCGCGTTCCGCTTCGAAGTCCCACCGGCCTTGAACGCTTCGACTTGGTCCGGATGTACGTGAACGGGGTTGCCAAACTCCACGACAGCGCGAGAACGGAACTTGTTCGGGTGAAAGTAATTCATGCCACAGGGAATGATAGACAGGCCGCAGTTGGGATCTTGAGCCAGAGCGCCCAATGCGATAATGGCGACACCGGCCTTCAAGGGAAGCAAGCTGGGACGATCATGGCTGCCGCCTTCCGGAAAGATTCCGATACAGCCGCCTGCAATGAGTTCACTATAAACGGCGTCGAACATTTGGCGCTGGTCGATATGCGGGGCGACTTTAAAAGTGGTGCCATTGCGCAGCGCGTCGTACAGAGGGTGATCTTCCTTGAATTGCTTGAATGGCTTTCGCAGTCTTAATTCTTCCGGTCCGAGAATCTGCGCAATTGTTTGCTGCTCCGGGCTGGTCTTTCCCACCCGCGGGAGAATAATCGTGCCGCCTTCCATGAAGAGCTCATTCGTAAAATCGGTTCCTTCCCCACGAACCAGGGTCGGGTCGTTATCGGGATCCGGCAAATAGATCTTACCCGGGGCCGATTTGACATTATCCTGGGCTCGCACAACCGGAAGGGCTCCCATGCACCCAGCCATTGTGCCGATATATGGCTCCCTCATGGACTTCTCGGCAATGAGGAACGAGCTTCGACGGTTGGCGGCGTGCTTCAAAATGCGCATCAACAGGATAGAGTCAACAAATTGGTTCGCATGTGGAGCAGCCACGATGATCACCGGCCCGCGTCGCGGGATTCGCCAAGCTCCTCGGGAGTAAACCTCCCGGAAGAAAATGTCTAGACATAGGGTGAAGATCCAGATGCCCAGGTCATAGAGCCATGGGATCATGTATCTGCGCGCCATGATCGCGACTACGTTCGGGCCCGCCCGCTGGAATGGCAGGCGATCGGTGGCCTAAACAGTTGTGGAAGGCAACCTAACTCTTGACGGTAACCATATACCGGCAGAGTCCGAGTAGCCAATCGCCACAGAGAGGTTCTGTATGCGAGGGGATGTACGGATGGACGAGTGACGCGGCGGGTGTTTGGTGGGAAATGATAAGAATCCCTCTTTCGGGGAGTCGCGCAACCGAAATTCTCCGCAAAAGCTTAGCGGCTTTTTTCCATCGCTGACTCAGCCGCGTGAGCTCATCATGCAAACCAGACAAACACTCTCTCGATCTCCATCGAACTTGAACTCTCAGAACTTCCAAAGTCTGGCAGCAAGTGCTATCGATCTTAGTCACGTCGAGAGGTTATCTGACTGCAACGAGCCCCAGAGAGACTGGTGAATCCTTGATCCTCGCTGGCCGCGTTGTGTCTTGTTATCAAAATAAACCATGGAGTCTCATTCAGACTCGTGGTTGATTGGAAAAGGCTTCATCGTCATCTTGAACTGGTGCCTCTCGAAGGTTGTTGATTTCATCCTTCTTCTTAGAACTGTGTAGTGTGGTTACTTGGTGTCTTGCAGGGCTACGTAGCCTGGATTTTCGTCCTACACTGTTCTGTTAATACCATGGGGATCCCAACATGGAAGGAGAGTTCGCAATGACGTGAGACCACCGAGCAAATAATACTCAGATAGAGGCGTATATCAGTGTTAATTACAAAGCCCTCATTGTGGCACTGAAAGGCAAGCCAACAGATCTATGACTGCCCCGTTCTCTGGGGTTAGACATGACACGTACGTCAGGCCCCCCAGCAACACGAGCTGCCGGCATATACCTAAATTTTGATCGTTTAACTGATGTGGATCTGTGGTACGTACCAAACGCAGAAGTCGATCTGATCTGCCAATGACGTAGGAAAAAGCCGCCATAATGCCACTGTCCCACTGTAACCTATGCTCCCTGCTCGAAGTATTATGTGATACCATATCAGGCTGCACAAGCTTGCGGACCAATGTAACCTTGGCACTACAGCTTGAGATAAATCATAAAAGCAAAAACGTTCAACAGTATCGGTTTCTTGTAGACATTGTAATACGCGCAGATCCCGATCGAATGTTGATGGGATCCATGTTTAATAAGACATCCAACTTGGAGGACAATTGTGCATGACAATTTGATTAACACGACCCAAGAGTGTACGGTTAGCGTAAATGTACCTCGGGTATCCTATATAGTGGGCTCCTACGCTACCCCTTACATGATCTACACGTCCAAGCGTTACCTTATTATGATTTAATTGGTGAACACTTATTCTTGACGTAGCTTGCGGTTCTACTTTGGAACCTTGAATTTGTGTCTCCATGATACCTTAATTAGATATTAGGTGATTCTAAATCAGAGGGAGAGTGCTAGACATTTGAATGACGACGGAATCTTTAGCCACGGTCTAATTACATATGCTGGAATCGAGGTATAACTTTATGCAGTGTGACCAATTATACAGCCTCCGTACACGTAACATGACGTTGAACAAGAATGGATAGAAACTTCATGAAAGACGCCACTGTTTCTGTGACTTGTCTAAACCAGAATGTGGTGCCAAAGATAGCGCATTTCGGGCCGTCTAAGCATCGGTAGCCTCTCGTATCTGCTGGCAGGATTCAATCCCAAGTCAGCTTTTAGTATGCCGCTGAGTCTCCGCAGTTACATCCAGGCCCATGCCGAGTCGCAGAATGCTAGGAACATGTCTGAGACATGTTCCACCCGAGTCCACCGAACAAGCAAAGAGATGTGATGATTGGATGCTGCTGATGTGGACTGGAATAGACGACAAGAGACTCATGTGTCAGACTTAGACAGCGTTTTTGGGATTCGAAGAGGTATGCCTTAACCTCAGCAAAGGTGCAGCAGAGCACATCAACGACTATAAATACATTGGTTGGGCCCGCCCATCGAAATATAGTAGCCCGGCTCTCTACCATCAATCTTTTCTCAATCCAGTACGATAACAGATCATCCTGCACGATGCAACTTCTCTCAGCCTTTATCACTGCTCTCGCCCTGAGCACCGGGGTCCTTGCCCAAGGCTGGCATGGATGTGCTCCGGGCTACGGTGTGAGTTACCCTTCTACAGCTTTTATTTGATACGCGACAACTACTGACCTTGTGATTCAGTGTCATAGCAACGAGGAATGCCGTCAGCAGCGAGACTGCCAGCAGCTGGCGAACGGTGTAAGTAGTAATAAGAACTATGTATCGAGACATGGAAGGCATGAACTGACCAATTGTATTTATAAGAATCTTGACAAGATTTATTGCGGCCAAGCAAACCATCCGATCGCTTGTTGGGCGGTAAGAATCAGCTTTCAGTACAGATACTTAACTCACGAGGCTGACATGTTGACCGATCGATAGTATACGAGCTAATAGTGAGGGTTACAATTCGGACAAATTCATGTTCACTGATCAGGACATGGAGCAATCCGAACATCTGGGTGGCTGATGTTTCGAAGAAAGGCGAAGAAAACGAATCGATGTATCTTATGCTCCGTGGTTGTCTGGCCTCTTCATCCGTGACTTTTTGGTTTCAACGACAAGATGAATTCTTCTTGGGTGGTTGCGATGTCATATGCGTAGCCTGTCAAAATATGATACTTCGCTACAGGAACGTACATTGGCTTGACCGCACAGCAATTCTGGCTTCTGTACTCACAGCATGAAGTAGAGATGCTGGATCCCGTAGATGCACGTGTGGCAGGGATCCAATGTCCCCGGATAGATTTTAGAATACTTTAACTGTATCTCGACGATACCACTTCTATCCAGACACCAATAGCAGGATGGTGGGTATGGAGTAAAATGCACAGGGAAGACTAGCTATATGGTGTAAGCTTTGTTCGCTCATGGAGGGGTACATCGTGTCTTTTATCCTATAGAACGTAAATCGTGGAACCTCAGAAAGAGCTACCTGGGACTCTAAGGCAACTAACAGAATTGACTAACGAGTCTGATATAAAGGTGTACAAGGTTATCTGTTGAATGGGAGTCCAAGTAGACTGGTATATCGATATATCTAACCTTGATATAGGATATTCTGTGATGTGAGCTGGATGCACTGGTTTCAGGCACTTTGTAATGAATGGCTATTTTCAAGTCCTTGCGGTTTGACGTGCCCACGAGGCCTAGAGATACTTTTTATGTTCGAGTAACATATGTTAGATCAGAACTAGATCCCGTATTCGTGCCCAGATTATGACATAAACGTTTATGTGGTGCGTCAGGAAGAAGGATACTAAACGTACCGTTCAGCGACTGGGCAGCCTCTCTGTTGGTGACCATGTTTGAGGCATCTGTACGTGGCTTACACCATACGAGCTGCAACTAGAAGATAGAGCTTGTGGTGAAGAGAGATGAGACCACTGAACATATGCACTATGCCGGATCGAAATATGGTTGATGATAGTTCTTTATTCAATTTCTTTTCGAGTTCCTTAACGCTAGTCCCACTGCTTTCCGGATGTAACAAATGTGACCTATTGTATGTACCACGGGTATAAGGCTTTGAGACATGTCAATGTGATGTCACATTTGCCAATCACTAAAGATAGTAAAAGGCCAACCTCTGTTGAGACTGTATGACCAATCGGATATCCTGTCGCCTCGTGCATACAGGACTAGACTTGTCACAGAGGCTTAAGGTCTCCTTTGGATTGAATGTCATCGATATCACATTCCCCCGGTGGAGATCACTATACTATGTGCTGTAACAGTATGGTTATCAGTGGTCAGAAGCAAGGGAATACAACTAATTGATGTTCCAGAAAATGAAAAACGTAGGCGCGCATTGCTACAAAAGCGTCTATCCCATGTACCTTCTATATCTATGAAATAATCTTTGAGTCTAGTCTACTCTTGTTTCTCTCTGAATCTTTTTATCCCCCAGCGTGACCCCGATATTTTTGACAACTAGCCACGCGGGTAGCAGCGAAATAGCCCACAGCCCGAAGTTGAGATAAACACTCCCAACCGAAGCCATGATCGTTACAGCGTTAAGACCGTACTATCGTTCATTATTAGAGCCTGCATGTGAAAAAAATAAGGAGGGCAGGATAACTCACCGAAACCGCCTGAGCCGCTGACTCCGTGCCCCGAAGTAAGCCGGAGATACGAATAACCTCCTCTTCGTCGTCGGCAAGATTGCCAATAAGGAAATACCTGGTCGGTCATCAGCATCGTCCAGTCACACACACTCTCGTATGCACTTACAAGAACATATAGTTCAACTGGAATCCCACAATCCAGAACAAGTACAATGCGAACCCACGGCCAAAACCCGCGTCTGCCCAATCGTACGACGGCTGGGTCTTGTTAAACTCTGTAACAATGATAGTACCCCAGACCCACCATGCTCCTTGCAATGTGAGAATAGTCACGAAGGCACTCCTGGTTCGAGTTTTGAGTGAAATCCTCTTGGTGTCCAAAAACGCGCCCAGCACGTTGCCAAGGATCAGTGCTATAATACCTCCGAGAAATGAGCCCAATGCACGCGCCCGTACCGAGAACCACAGTGATAGGTAGGTGAACATCACGGCTTCGGTAAAGACTGCTTGACTAATGAGTGGGACGATGAGAAGGAAGTTCCGAGTGAAGAATAGCTTTGCTGTCTCTTTGATCTCGTGAAGCGGGCTGTTTGCTATGCGAAGTTTTACGGGAAGTCCATCCGTGCGCTGCACTTGAGACGGCGAGTTCAGCAGCAGTCCAGCAAATGGGCCAAGCGCCTGTAAGACGATAAACACAATGAGAACTGAGTAAGAGACACTGCCAGCCGTGTCGCGATTGGAGTTGATGCCCAAATTAATCGCACCACCCAGAATCTGACCACCGACGCGAAAGCTCAACCAGAAGCCGAGGAAGCGCCCCTGGTTGTGTGGCTCCGGATAGGAGATCGCAATGGCGGCCTCAGCCATCCAGAAAATGCCGGCAGACAGGCCACAAAGAGCGGCACCAAACAGAACGAACCATTCGGTGCCGAATCGATTGTTGGTGTAGAGACCTGCAGCATAGGGGGCGTACCCCATCGTGCCGACAATGAGTGTCCATTTGATCCCTATGTAGCGGACCACTACGCTCCCAAAGAAACATGAAAGCACCATGAGGCAGAATGTCAGTGCATTTGCTGCGTTAACGAGATACTATGGTCATGGAGTCAACACTTCCTGTCCCAGTAGAAGGCCCGTTGGAGATTACCGACCGGCTTTTCCAACCCTCCTCCGCCGACCGAGTTCATGGCTCCCCAGATACCGGGCGCGAGGAAGTTGCACAATCCCAAAATCATAGCATTGTAGAACGTTGAGCGATACCATTTCACTGCGGCTGTTAGCATTGCAATTGGGGCTTGGAGCAGTCAGCTGACCTGGATGCTTTTGTGTTGAAGGTAGGTTGTTGTTCCCAATCTCTTCATCAGTCGATTGGATATCTGCTTTTTCTTGGGCCATTTTGAGAGCAGCAAAGTAGGTACCATCCGATTTATGGTTTTGGATATTCGACGTTCGAGAACGAAAGACATTCTGAAGCAATGACGAGCATTTATGTACAAGTTACGGCTCCCAAGCTCTCGTCTAGATGACAATCTAAGCTTATCGCGCAAGTACTAGTAGATTAGAAGCCGTAGGCTCCTGTCTAGCCCAATAGCCAAGGCAGATTATGAGACTAAAATGACATTTCATTGCGCTAAACGTGTAGGCTTTCCGCCATCAAAGCCGTAACGGCTTTGGCGATGTTGCCGTTGGAGTGCCCGATTACGTGCTCGCACGGCATTTTAGCACAGATTGTGTACATTACTTCACAACAGGGATGCCAATGTTCGTACGAATTTTGTATTTTAAACTGAAAATTACCACAGTTGTTTTCATTCAAGGAATGTAGAACATGCCCCAGAAATTTAGTCTATTTCTGTTCTTCATTTTGTGTCCGTCTCCTTGAACCGAGGATATACACTACTTTGAAGATGCAACACTTGACCGTTATAAATCTGAAACAGGATTATGCCTTAAGTTGCGAAAAGATTTATTTGTCAAATTAAAATAGACATACTGCCATTACTCTAGCGAGTCTTGGGAAATGTTCAGTCTCAATCAAAAACACGCATGATCATGCAAATGCAAAACAGAAGACAGATTCATAAATCCTAGAGGTCGAAATCTACTCCTGATCATCCGGATGGAAAACCAATGCCCTGACTTCAATACTCTCCCGTGGCGCCTCATTCAAAGTATCTGGGTTAACAAACGCCGAGTGAGGAACTCTGCGGGCCCGACCATCCGTCTTGGAGTCAAAGCACTTGATCAAGGTGACCAAATCTGGCGTCTGGCCGTAGCGATAGTACCATTTAATATCAGGGTTGGGCTTAACTGCGTATGTCTCGCCCTCGCGATTCGGGTAGATCAGCTTGATACCGACGAGGTCGCTATCCGGAAGCGTATGAGCATCCCCGACGGTCAATGGGTCTTTCAGAATCGGCTTGATAGGCCGCCAAACATTGATGATCTGATACCGTCCTTTGAGGAGCTCCGGGGCGTCCTCTGGAAGATGGTAACTGACACGGTTCTTGGCTGCCTCATACGACTGGTCGATGTGCACACGCTGAACAGGTCCCCGTTGGGGTGTGGACTGAGCTCGCACATCCTTGGGTGCACGGCGAATGGTATGGTCGAAGATGAAGACACGAGAAGCGCCAGTTCTATGGCACTTTAGTTAGTGTCTGAGAATTGGAGAAATCCGGGGTGCACGTACGCGTCTTTCAATAGCTGCTCCGTCTCTGGATAGTACTCTCTTGCAATTTTCTCATCATCGAGGAAGTCTTTCTCACGACTCTCGTGGTAGTAGTACTGAAAACCATTCTTGTCCAGTGTGTAGTCCAGTTCATGGCCACTCACGTCGTGAACGGTGACGGCGAGCTCGACGGACGGCCGTTCGTAACTCTCAGGCCGCGTGACGTAGTTTGGGGTGAGATGGGAGCCATCCTCAAGCTCTTTCAGGAAGCGCAGCTTGGTTTGAACATGGTGGGGCTTTTCCGAGGAGGTAGGGACAGAGGTCTTTTGTGTAAGTGGCGATGGTTCGTGGCTGGGCGGGACTTGAACTGCAGCAGAAGCCATGATGGTTCGTGTGGTATGTACCTAAGATTGCACTAAGAAAATTGATGACGTTTGAAACTTGCTCTAGCCGTTATGCTTTGATCTACATTGGGGCTATAAGGTGAAGAGCTACTTTATATACAGGCCCGTTAGTGAAACGTGGAGAGCAATTGGCATTTGTCAGATTCGCACGCCATCATGCAGATGCATGTGGCAGTCGATTCGGGATGATAAATAGAAAATAGGCCTATTGGAGCTTTGACAAGGGAGGGAATGTATGCAAGTATGACCGTT